GTAGTAGTAGTAGTAGTCGTAGTCGTAGTAGTAGTAGTAGTAGTAGTAGTAGTTGTTGTTGTTGTTGTTGTTGTTTTATAGTAACTGGTGTAGAAATGCCAATGGCAAACGAAGTCCGCTGACAGGGGTGCCAAACCAAGGTGCTGCAAAGCGTGAACAAAGCAAAAGCCAAGGTTCGAACGGCACACGAACGAATTGGATGGTGACCGGAGTCACCGCGGCCGGGGCGCCCTTTTAAGCTCATTGAGCCCACCCTCTCCGGATGGTGCATGGTTCATCTCAACCGCATGTTACACAGCGTGTAATTCACACGGGAGGAAAGTAGTAAAAAAACTAGTCTGCCGACAGGTTCGCGTCGGCAAACCAAGCATGGATCTCCGCTCGGAGGGTGCCTCCAAGCGTCGGGTTCCTGACATCCAAAGGGCACCACTTGTCGCCACAGTAGGCGCAGCAGCGCAGGGACTGGCGGTTGCGATCCGCCATCTGCTCAACCATCTGGCACTCAGGGTAGTGCCAGCAGTCTCCTTGGCGTGATGAGACAATCACCACACGGTGGGGACAGGCTTCCATGTGGTTGTCCATGGCCGTTTGCACACGGCGCAGCAACATCGCTCCATCTTTCACCAGAGCCTTGAGATCGAAGATCTCCGCAGTGAATCGGTGCGTCTCCATGAGGCACAGATCCAAGGCCTTGCGAGCCTCTCGAGCGGCCTTTTGGGACTCTTCACTTTTCAGCTTCTCCTTCTCCAAGACTTCACGAAGTCGGGCCGAGACAATGGCCTCATCCTTCTGCACTCCGGCTTCACTTGAAGCCTTCACCGGTGCCCAATGCAGGCACTTGCACAAGCAGCAGCTGCTTGTCATCACCAGGAGGTGGGTGAGCAAAAGGAAAATCATCCAAAACAACCAACCATCGTCGTTCGCAGGCTCTGAGGTCGTGACGGGCAGCTTATCGCACGTTTCTGCAGCGTGGCAGGAAGAGAAAACAAATGCAAAACATGTCAACCAAAACACGATGTTCTTCATGCGACCGGTGCTCACATACTTCTTGCGGCTTTCGACATGGCGAGCTGTGGCGTATACATACGTGACAGCGAGGGCATTCGTGACAAAGTTGACACTCTCGTGAGGGTCAACGTGAGGGTCACCTGCCGGGTTCTCTTGGACCTCCTCGGACTCGGGGATGTAGTTTTCTTCATGTTGTCGGTGCCAAACATGTGCAGCAGCCTTTGGCACCGAGGGTGTCTCAGCCAAAGCGCTGAGCTTCTCTCCCCTACTTTTCTTCTTCATGGCCTTGTAGGAGGGGTCCCACGTTAGCTTCAACTTTTGATGCCGAAGGCGTGTTGCAAAGAGAACACGAGCAGCTTCCTTTGTCAAGCCGTCAGCGATCTGTCGGTCGCTGCTCATCCATTTCAAAACACCATCAATCTCCTGGAGGCGCTCCTTCATGACGCGGATCTCGAGGCTGACCCTTTTGTCAATGACCGAGGAGCTAGCGGATTCACGATGGTAGGCATCATACAATGCCTTGGCATCCGTGACCATCACGGGCTTCAAAGTCGACCTGATGTTGAGCAGGTCCTTCAATGCCATGTCCGGCTCAAGGAGATGGTGCCAGTAGCGGCAGGTGAAGTCCACCGCATCGCTGGCTTGACCGCCAGCCTGGGCTTCCGCTCCAAGTGATGACCTGGCAACCCGAGGAGTTTTGAAGCTCCTCCAGTCCAGCACATGGTACTGGCCTTCTTCGTCTGAGTGCATGAGGTTGCCGTTGATGAGCATCAGGATGTAGCCACCTTGAGACGATCCATCATTGCGGGTGGAGAATCCCGCGTCAAAGAAGCACAGCAACCGCAGGCTGTCACACTCACCGATGTAGTTGTAGGTGAGGCCTATGTCCTTGTTTGCCTTGGCGAACTTGAGAAGGCGGTTGGTGTCCATGAGAGTTTGGATCGTTCCTTTGTTGGCCAAGCCGGAGAGCAAGCTGGCGCTGCATTGCAAGTGTGGTGAGGTTTGAACTGCCGGCCACTGCAGTGACCCCAACAGGCCACGAAGCTGAGTGACTTCACGTTCACGAAGACTGTCATTTGGCGACTGCTTCTTGTTCACCACAATGGGCATCACCTTCTCCAGGTATTTGGTTTGGTGGATCTTTCGGCCTCCTTCGGGAGTCTTCTCAATCTCGCAACCACAGTACTCGAGACTGTCCTGATCCTCCTTCCACTCCCTGAACGAAAAGTTGGCCTTAAGCTGCTCCACCGCAGAACGGTATCGTGGGCTGTCCATGCATCCAACTCCAAGGAGGTCATCCACATGCATGATGACCATGCCAACCAGCTTTTGTGGCCCCAAGCTTTGCCAAGCTTTTGACCTTCGCATGGACCGGGTCTTCAGGGTTGTAGTTCACATCGTCGGTCTCGTAGATCAGAAAAGCGCAAGGGTCCAGGGCATGCTGGCGTAGTCCTCCACGGCGGAGTCGATCAACAGCTTCAAGATACCAGCCACGGGGTGCATCGATCTGCCCATAACATGGCTTCAGCAGGAGCATGCGGGTTTCTTCGTCAGCGCCAAGCAATGCCAGAGCTTCTGCAGGAAGCTTGACCCACAGCTTTCGGTCTTGCTCGCGACCTTGTAGAAAAGCGGTGCTCACATCAGCCGTCCAAGTAGTCCAGCCCATGGTCGCCCCCAAGGATAGGACAACTGACCTGGAGAGGCGTGTAGTCGTTGGACTGGATGTTTCGATGCGGCCTGCCAAAGCATCAGGGTCGGCAAACCCTCGAACGATGAGGCGAGCTTTTGCTCGTGGAGTTCCATCGGGGTTGCGTGACCACTTGAGCAAGATCCGTGACGTCAGAGTCCGGGCTGGGTCGGCTTCTTTTGTGGTTTCAAAGACCCAGACATGGTGATCGAAGAAGCTTTTCAGTTCCTTCACCTTTGCCTCTTTGAGCATCGCCCGTTCATGTGGGCCGAGCAGGCGTTCATTGACAGCATTCTTCTCCTTCTTGAACTTCTTCGTCTTGGCCAGTTTCTGTTCCTTGGCCTGCTGCTTCGCACTGGTGAAGTGCTGATGTTGTTGATGTCCAGTGTACATGGCCAGCTCTTTCCGGGTCTCCCCGTTGATCTGGAAGATTGTTGCTCCTGTCCAGGTGGTGTTGACATCAGGAGGTGGTGCACTGTCGTTGCCAGGATCAGTGTGGAGCTTGCTCTTGCCGTTGGCTTGGTGGATGAGCGTCACCCGAATCCGATCAAGCCTTGCAGTGTCAACTGGGCAATCTTTTGGAAGATGTTCAATATGGAGGCGACCTCGTCGTGGCACACAATGGTGTCGAATGAGACAGCCGGCTTTGATCTGCAGTAGTCGGAGTTCCGGTCAGTGAGCTGGAGGTAGCCGTGCTCGTCCATGTGCCAGCCGACAGGCAAGACCTTCGTGTCGAGGTCGTCCAAGTAGAATGCTTGTCCTTCAAAGGTGTCATCTGCTGAGCTCACAGGTCGTCGAGCCGGATCATATGGTGCAGTTTCTGCCGAGTGACGGGGTCGAAGTGGTGCAAAGCTCATCGTCTCTTGACGGTTGAAGCGTAGTCGTCGTTGTTGGAAAGTCTCGGCATCGATCGGCTCATAGAGCGAGGCTGTGTGAGGGTCCAACGTCGGTGGTTGAGCCCGCTCAGCATTCGTTGTTGACATAGGTGCCACAGTGGAGTGCGGTGTGGATTGTGCTGCTGGTGGCTCCTCACTAGGTTCAGAGATGGAAAGGAGTTCACTTGGCACTCGTGGCAAATCGTTTGTATCTGCTGTTGCGTGTGGTTCTGTTCCTGCCGCTGCCGTGTCTGCAGCTGCCGGTTCCGCTGCTGCCTCTGTTTGTGAGGCTGCCGGTGATGTTGGTGTGTACTCATCGTCCATAGGTGCCACCGCCGATGATGCTTCTGGTGCTCCTGGAGCTGAGGCATTTGGTGGAGTGATAGCAGGTTCACTCTGAGGAGGCTCGTGAACCATCAACCGTGGTCGCCGTCGAGGTGGAGACATCTCATGATCCGATTCCTCCTGGGGTGCGTCTTGCTAAAGTCTGCATGCGGCTCCAGAGCTTGCATTCAGGTGCCAGGAGCACTTCATCGGGCATTTCCTGGTCCTGAAGGTCAAGGAAGGCTTGTTGATGGTGAAGGAGTTCGAAGTTCCAGCCTGTCTCCGGACCAAACTTACGAACAGTCATGCCCAGTGCTTCGGCCACTTCAGCAGTGCGAGCCGCCCCACAGTACACTTCCCATAGGACTCGCTGTTTTGCTTGTTCTGGTTGATGAAGCTGACTGGTCACGTAGGCAGACATCTCTTGAAGATGGGTGGTCAGCTGCACGTCCATGGTCTTGAGTTCGTGACGTTTGAGCTGTCGCATGCCTTCGTTGGGCTCGTCATTGACCTGGTCAAGGCTCACGAAGCCGTGCTCGGAGTGCTCAAAGTCGGCAAGGAGGAAGCCGTCAGTCTGATCCATATCAGGTTCAGCTGTCCTCAAGGTGAACTCTGGTCTCTCCGGGTCATAGTGGATGAAGTCATGGTCGGAGGTGAGAGACAACAGATATTCTCCTTGTCGGCCAATAGTGGCTTCAGTCCAGCCAGAGCTTCCGATGCGAATGCGCTTCATGGCGAAGTCCGTCACGCCGAGCGACTCAATGATTGGTCTGCCACAAAGCATGGGAGTATTGCCGGGCAACAGGAAAAGCTGAATGGTTCCATAGCGCCCATCCACAAACACACGTAACTGTGCCGACCAGTTGGACCACGATGCAGCATCGCCGCCAAATTGGAACCGGCGTCGACCTTGAGTCATGCAGATCTTCTCCACGGGGAAGCCACACTCTTGTAGGTGTTGAAGATATCGACGAAAGGGCTGGTACCCCGAGAGAAAGGCGCTAGCGCCTGGGTCCAACATGACGCAGTCCGGTCGCTCATTGCCGGAACTGTCTTGGAAGGTCAACATCGTGATCTCGGAGGCTTCATCATCACGGGCCTGGGCCATGCTTTCAGTTGGAGCTGGTCGCTTTTGACCACTTGACTTTGGTGAGGCCGATTGAGGACAGTTTGCAGCCCAGTGACCCTGTTGACCGCAGCGTAGGCACGTCATCGCTGCTTTGGCACGTCCCTTGGGATCTGACTTTCCAGCACCCTGAGGAGGATACCGGATGGTGTTGCTCCCCTTGCCTTTGTTCTTGCCCCCTTTTCCTTTTCCTTTTCGCCAGGTAGTTGAGCTCGAGGATGATGAGGCAGGTGCAACTGTCATCGGTTGTTGTTGATCGGCCAAGGCCACCACCGGGAGGAATCCTCTGGACATTTTGAGGTCGTTGAACCGCTTACGAGCATCGGCTGTGTCAAACTCTTCAGCCAGGTGCTCAGGGCTTGTTTCGTTGGAGTCTTCAGCCATCCAGGGATCATCACCGTAGTAGCCAGCATCATCATCGAAGGCTGGCTCTTCTTCATACTCTTCAACTGGCCAATCATCTTCATAGTAGCCGGTGTCTTCTGGCCATGGTTCCTCCTCCCAATCCCACTCATCATGTGCAGCATAGGCTCGACCAGACCATTTGCCGAAACGCTTGTTTCTGTCATGGTTCCAACCACCAGACTTATAGTCTTGACCGAGGATCAGATAGAGCGCTTCGATGACGGCCTGCTTCTCTAAGGAGGGAGCCTTCAGCATGACGAGTTGTCTTTGCTCCTTGGTGAGCGATGCACGGCGAAGCAAGTGCCATCCTTGAACAGGATCAGGAAGAGAGATCTTGTGCTGTAGGAGCTTGCGGTAGGACTCCTCATAGTCGCCCACATACATCAGCAGGGTTTGTCCAGGTTGGCGCTGCAACAAATTGAAGTAGCCTTCAAAGTCCGTTGGCAGCTGTACACGCTGATCGTAGGCATAGTTGCCATCGAGGATCGCCAGCATCTTCTCAAAGGCGTCGTCCTTCTCGAGTTGCTCCAAACTCCAATCCTCAAAGAGGCGCCAGACAGCACCGCGAAAGCTGCCGACGACATTCAGCACGCTCTCTTGAGCTCTTTTGGAAATGCTCATCTTCCGGTGGTCGAGCTGGATGCGCTGTCGCCATTCTTTGTAGTCAGCTGGTTGTCCCGAGAACAGTGGAACGAAGGAGTCCCGTAAGTCGGCATAGCTGTTCTCCTCTTTGGATGTCATCGAACTGGAGCCGGGTTGAGTGGCTTGTCCTCTTCCACGTTGTTGGCCCTTCTTTTGTGACATGCGCCGATGTGGCGAATGCCACGATCCTCCCCGTAGGGTGTTCCACAAAGAACTCAGCAAACAGGATCGGGAAGGAACCCTCAAAGGGAAGGTGACGAAGACCTTGGTCCCAGCGATCAGCTCGAGGGGGTCGTAGCAGAGTGCGCGGGAGCCCTCACCCAGACCGGGTTCGGGCTCCGCTACCAATATAGAAATGCCAGTGGCAAACGAAGTCCGCTGACAGGGGTGCCAAACCAAGGTGCTGCAAAGCGTGAACAAAGCAAAAGCCAAGGTTCGAACGGCACACGAACGAATTGGATGGTGACCGGAGTCACCGCGGCCGGGGCGCCCTTTTAAGCTCATTGAGCCCACCCTCTCCGGATGGTGCATGGTTCATCTCAACCGCATGTTACACAGCGTGTAATTCACAACTGGTCTTGATCAACACGCGTTGAAGATGCATTGAATCAGTTCCTGCGAGCTTACGTGCAATGAATGACACGTCCGCGTATAACATGAACATTGGGCCGCCAAGCACTATACGTACGCAAATGGAACACAAACTTTGCATTTCTTGTCGAATGACTTGTGACTTGCGCTCCTCCCACCCCAGCCCAGTATCACACCTTCGTCAGCGAAGGTCACACGCCATTTGGTCATGCGTTTTTACAACAAACAAAGAGGTCGGCTCATCGTTTCCGCCCGGTGGCCTTGGCGGCGATGGCGTGGCAAAATTTGCGCAAGGCTTCAGTGAGATCGCTCTGGAGGTCCTTCTTGAGGCCCTTGTGCATCTCCTCCCAGCTACGAGTAGAGCTTTTCCATGCTGTTCCTTTGTTTTAGGAGGGATACTGGTCAGACTTAAGGCTTGGCAAAGGTTTTGGGATGGACGAAACTCCAAAAGGAAGCACACATTCTTCTCACGGTATGGTCATGTATGTCCCTCTGTTACTGCCATCTACTGTCGCAGGTGCCAACAGGGCCTTTTCGGCACCCCCTTCTGGCAACGGCGCTCCTGAACTTGCCGAAGCGCCTCGTTGCTGAGCTGCACCTGGTCAGTGCTAGAGCGTGCACAGCGTGGAGCTGAGCTTTGGGAAGAAGATGGGAGAACATGAAAACATGTTATCCCCCTAGCTAAATCAGATAGGAAGCACAAACCACTTGGGTGAAGCTTTTTTTTATTGAGTACATGAGCCTACACAGAAAAAAACAACAACAAATACGGTAGTATAGGACCGACGTCACAAGATCAAACGATAACACTTGGAGAACATGTAGGCCTTTCTCTAGGTTTTGGGTTTAGGGTTTGGCCACTGGTGGGCCGGTAAGGGTGAGGGGGTAAAAGCGAACAACAAGAAAACACTGGGATTGGTGGCGGGATTGAAACTGGTGTGTTAGTGCTTCACAAATGGATAAGAGGACAAATGCCTACACATGTATGATAAACTTTTCTGGTTGTGGGATTGGAATGAATTTGCCAAGCATATGCAGAGCCAAGAATTGGAATGGATTTGCAAACCAGATGCAGAGCGAAGAACTGTAAAAACAGCATAAACTCTTTCTAGACTGAAGTGCATTTCCTTTTCAACCCAAACATTTCTATAGAATCACAGGAACTGAGCCTTTTTTAAACGAACACTGACAATAATATACGTATTGTTCAGATATTTATCACTACAAAAAAAACAGGTGGCCCAACTTGCAGCGTAGGCTACTTCTTTAGGTCTAGCCGTGCTTTTATCAATAAACGGTTTTTGGAGCACAAGGTACTCGATTCTACAGAGTGTGATTCGCAGTAGGATGACATGTGAATGAACGAACAACGGACTATACAAGGCATACAACTGTATATCCTGGAGTTTTTTTTGGAGTATACACAAAGACGCGCGCACCAACTTCCAGCCTTGGGTTGCTCCTCCCCCCGCCGTCGGGGCCGCCAACATGGTGGGTCCTCCCGGTAACACCAATACAGCCCTTGCAGCGCGCAGCCCAGAACTGTAATGGCCAACGTAATCATCAAAGGTCCACTCATGCCCGCAACCTCCAAAGCTGCTGGCTCTGCCTTGGCCTCAGCCTCGGCCTCGGAACTCACGCGTGAGGACTAAGGCGTTTCCTCAGGAACCTTGTTTGCTGCTTGGTGCAGTGATAATTACTTCTTTTTAGGGCAGTCGCGGCAGGTCAGTATCAATCAGCATGGGCACTTGTGTGTTTAAAGGATGCTTTCACATTGATGACAAAACAATCAAGCTTTCAGGATGGTGCTGTTTGCATCTCCCCTGACGTTCGCACCTGCAAAGCAGTGCAATAATCTTTGGGCCTGTAGTTGTCGAGGGCCTTCTGCCATTCTCCTGCTTGAATGCTGGTCATGATGGCATGGCGCAGCGGCCACACCCATTGCTTTGACACTGGAATGCCTATCATGGCAGAGTGTACCGGATCGCCGATCCGTCCGAGGTGGCAAAAACTCCCTCCATTGGCCGCTTGCGCCGCTTCAAAGTCCTCCTGGCGAAGCACAGCTGCTTGGCAGGAACTGCCCACACCAGTGAGGACATCAGAGCGTTGGCTTAGAATCACTAGGTTGGACTCCAGCACGCCCGTGTCCAAGGCTAAAGTTCTCTCCTGAATCGTTGACAAATAATCCAGAAAACGCAAACTACCCGACCTTCTTTCAACAGGTAGGCCCAGGTAGGCTCATCACAGGGTGGCTTTGTCAGTCAACAAACAAAAACTGAACAACGTGCAAGATGCAAAACAACTGAACTAAGATGGTGTCCGGCAACTGTAAGCAAAACCATAGTGATACGCAGTTGAGTTGCTCAGATGCTCCTTTACTTTGCTGTTTTGCTCATGTGAACTGGTCTAGTTGCGTCGTGCTTGCTAGGTTTATGCCGTTGTCAAATCAACCTGCACACAGGCAAGTCTCAAGAAGAGCGGGCCAGTCTTTTCTTTGCTGAAAGGGTGGGAGAATTGAACAGCGTGCATGCGTCAAACACGCAAGGCAAAGTACACCAGGTGATCTGTGAGATTGGGAATTGGATGAGTAAAATGTTCTTTCACAACAAGATTGTGGCACGCCAGATGCGTAAGTTTGGTATCTTGTTGCTCACGTCAACTACTGTGTTGTGCTCAACGAACAAAATGTCTTCAAACGATGTGCAATAATGAAGATCTATTGATGAACAAATACCCAAGTGCCGTTAATAACACCTGTGGTTCTTCATTACGACCATTTGACAACGATCACACGGGCCTGAAAAAAACCACTGGTTGCTCAGGGAACAAGGTCACTGGTTGACTTTGAAGAAGGTGAGAAACTCTTTAAAACAACACTTGTAAAGGGATTCGATTCCAGCAAGACCATGACATCAGCCAGGTCTCCGTCCGATGCACACAAATCTTGTAATTGAGTCGGATCGCATCCGAGAGGTCGTCGATGGGAGAATGCAAACGTTGTGACACCACGAAGAAAGAAGCCAAGGAGGCTGTGTAGCCACAAACTGCAAGGAGGAGCCAAAACGCCAGACCCAGGGACAGAATGCGCCCCCCGAGGGTCTTTGGCTCTAAGACTGTGCTGAACTGCACTGTGCCGAGGAAGGAATAGTAGAGACAATCACCAAGAAACCCCAAACAACCTGGGTCCGAATCCTCGTCCGAATCGCCAAACTGACCCCCAGTATCAAGCTCAATGATCGAGATGATCCAAGCCAAACACAAGGAAACGCTCAAGAACACGAGCCAAAGACTAAGACTAAAGGGTTTGAAGGCTGTCACAATCATGGCACCGAAGTCCATGTCCTGCTCTTTGGTTGACACAGGCCCCACAAGAATCGTTGGCTCAGCCCACAAAGCAATGAAATGAGAGGCATCCACACGACGGGGAAGCATCACCGTAGAGGTCATGCACACATCGAAGTAGCCCATTCCAGTACCCCACGGGCACAAGTCAAAGGTTCCCCCGCCAGGGAGAACACGTTCCAACTGGTCTTTGACCGCTGAAGGAACCAGCTCCTTTTGCTCCACGTGAAAACCCGCCGAAGCGCTGGTCACTTGGAAAAGCCGTTGCACGGGGCCAAACCCTCGCTCACCCACCTGAGATCCACTCAAGGCGAACTGCAAAGGTGAACTGGACTCCTCTTGTGGTGTTGTAATTACATACCAGGACCTTCAAAGTGACCTGTTTGGAGTCTCTAAGTAGGTCCTGGTAGATGTGGCGCCACATTTACATGTTCATGATAGAATGGAATTGCCGTTCTTGGCGGAAAAATATCTTTTGCGGCCTCATCGCGAAGCATGGCCCTAAAGCCAATGTCTAGTTAACATGTGTTGCAACTAGTATCAACAATTAGTGGCTGGCATCTTGCAGCATGACCTACACACAAAAGGTTGAGAGTTGCTACAGCTACTTTAGGGTCATTTGCAACACCTGTGCAACAAACCTATAGAGGAGTCTTAGAAAACTGAGTCAAGCACAAATCAACCCAACCCTGACGCCAGCGAGGCTGGACATTTGCGGAACGATCTCCGCGGATCTCTCGCGAACTTTCACTGGTGATATCCCGGAAAATGCTCTGCAGTCTGTCTGCGGATCGTTGTCTCACTGGAAAAGGGCTGTGAAAGGATGATATGTTGGATATCGAGTTGGGAAGAACATTCTGTAGGCACTGTTAGGGCTGTGCAAGGGCAAGTTGGGTTGTCAGATGTTGTCAGTTTTTTAAAGTTATGACCTGTGCAGGGACAGGAATCGGAAAATCTTTACGAGTTGAAGGGGCTGGGCTAGGTAAACGTTGAGGCTTCAGTTCGTTAGTTTGTGACTGTGGGAGTGGGGACATGTGGGGACACTTCCACCCACCACAGGACTGAATTCCATGTCGAATACCATCGCGGACGGTTAAGACAGCCTCTAAGAGGTTGTTTGATTTACAGTAATACCGCTTACACGCCCCGAACAAGGTCAACTCTAAAGAACAAGAACAAGGACATGAACATTTCAGATTGACGCACGCTCGCTCCCAAAATCGGTATGTTGAACGTTTTTCACCGATTCTGTGATCAAAAGAACTTGGCTTCAGGCATGCAGCCTGTAAAAGAGTGATGACAAGTGCCACAGATATTTTGGGTGCAAGGCACGCAGGGTTGGCCTTTCACACCTGTGCAATAGTTCCCCTTCCAGCCGCCGGTGTTTGAAATGTAGAGAACACGAAGAGTCTTACCACGGATCGACTCGGTAATGTTCTCCAAGGAGAACAGGTCCCGGTAGCCACATGTCGTGTAGGACCAAAATCTGCCAAGAGGTTGTGTTTCCTCATGAGTGATACTGCAGTTCTTCTCATCTACATAGCACCACTGGTCATCGCACCAATCGGCAGGGTTGCTTGACGAACAAACCTCGCACCAGTCGGCAGGGTTGCCAGCGGCGCATTGTGGTGAGCCTGAGCTGCCATTGAAGTCATGAGCGTAGCATCCAAAACCATACCTGGTTGCTCTTTCAAATGGCAGCAAAAAGGGCTACTTTACTTCGAGTGACCCCGACCCCAACAGGCAGTTTGAAAGAAGGTAAGGTAGGCCATGTATTAACAGACTATGCTGTCAAACTCTGCGTGACATGCGCATTGAAGCAATGCTCTGACAATTGCTCTGGCATCAAGTCTGCGATGTGCTCTCACACATCATGTATAACAAAGAGCTGGGATATTTTTGGAGTGCTCCGATATGTGCTGGGACATATGGTCAAACTTTGGTTCTTGTATGTGTTCTGCCATGTATGTGGGCATTTATTGTGCCCAAAATTGCCCCAACAGATGTTCCAATATCCTTTATGGCAATTCTATGTCCTCTGATGTCGTTTCCGGCATTCTATCTGGCAAAGCTGGCATATGTTCTGACATTCTCACCGCTGCATCTTCGTCCCTTCTTGCAAATCTTCTGGCTGTTTAATTAGCACTTTGCTGCTTGGGGGCATGCCTTCTCACGTCCGATCTGGCACTCAAATTGGCATGTCTTCTGGCATTCTACTTGGCATACGTATCTTGTGACTGGCATATCTTCTGGTATTCTAGCTGGCATTTCTTCTGGCATCCTGTCACCTATTCTATCTGGCATATCGTCTGCTATCCTGTCTGGTGTTCTATCTGGCATATCTTCTCGTATCCGCTCTGCCACTTTACCTGGCATGTCTTCTGACATTCTCTCTTGCATTCCACATGGCAGACCTTCTGGCGTTCTGACAAGCATACCTTGACATTCTAACTAGAATGTCTTCCAATATCTTGTTCTATCTAGCATTTCATCCGGCATATCGTCTGCCATTCTCTCTGGCACATCTTCTGCCCTTTAACCGGCAATCCTATCAGGCTCTTTAACTGGAACATTGTCCGGCAATCTAGCATATCTTCCGGCACATGTTTGGCATTCTAACTGGCATATATCTCCTGGCATTTCTATCAGGCATATCTTCTGGCATTCTCAATGGCGCCCAGGTCCGTGCATGCCACTGAGCTGGCACTTGCTGTGACATGAGAACATGGCAGGAAGAGAGGAGAAGGAAGGAAGGAAGGAACGGCGGAAGGAAGGAGTAGCACATTTGTTAAAACTGACGAAAATAATCACCTGGTAAGTGGGGAACAACTCTTAATTAGTCAATATAGTCGATGGAGAAAGAAAAATATACAACATGTTTCAAGACAACCACCTAGACACCCGCTACCTGAGATGCAGGGACACTCCGCTGCACCTTCCACACCAACGCTAGCTGCAAGTGGTGCTAGAGCAAAAGCCAGCAACGCCTGCTGTAGAGCCATGGACGCTACTACTGGCGGCACTGGTATACAGCTAGCTATATGCAATATCGTTCGTGATGGAGGCTGGAATGCCTTGAGCCGCACTTTTGTCCACGATCAAAGGGTCACTTCCCTACCATGCGAGGTTGGCGCCAATCTGAGAGAGTCGGAGAATGCTTGATGCCGCACAGCGAGGCTTTCCGAAGACATTCAAATCGAAATGATCTGTCCTCCAGCAGCTCCAACACTTTTTGCCATTGATGTCCTTCGGCACAAGCTCTTGCCACGTTACCAATGACTTCCGCGCTGTCCTCACGGCCACAGACACTCAAATAGAACATCTGCGTCAAGCTGAGGCAACAGCGCGAAGGATTAAGAACGCCAATTGAGTGGTATTTGGTTGTTTTATTCACCCCCACATGGTGGAATGCGAATGCCTTACCATCAGCCCGCAAATGAAGGGGAGCTGGCCCCTTGGATGCTGCCCTTACATAGCAAGTGTCTTAGTGCAATACTCTGTGGTACAAGAACCTGGTCTGATCTGCAGTGGTCTCCACCAGATTCACCACTTCAAGGCGCCGGTCTGGCGCAAATGTCCAGTATGTGCCACCAAGCAGGGTAGTTGCTGGAAATCCTCCACATGAGTGGCACTTCAGTGGCAAACGTTAGCTATCTGGTTGGCGGTTTCAGTTCAGTGGTTTCAATCACCCCAAATAATGGTTCAACATTCATAACAATATATAGATATACACTAAACATATCTGAAATCAGCACCCAGCCATATGAAAGAATATGAAAGAATCATCCCTCTTGATTTGATGATAAGATTCTAAGATTCTAAAAGTACCCTCCAGCAAACCTTCCATGGATTTGCACCTCGCAAGCAAGCCCATCGCTGATCCATTTGATCCATTCGCTGGCCCTCTGCTATTGTCTGCCACAAAACAAACACGCGATGATTCCGGTCGCTTTCTCCCCACGTGGTGTGACCACGCCCGCCTGACGCTTCTCCAAAAGCTTCAAGCCACGTTCCCAGTTGCCAGTCGTAGCAACTGCTGCTGCAACCTTCAAAGGGAACCACTCGAACGAAACTGATCCACCTTCAAACGGACGTCAACCAGACCTTAGGACCTAATCCTCATGAGTTCTTCCACCTCGGCGATGAAACAAGCAAGAAACGAACGGACCAATTACACGCCTTCACACCGTGGCACCTTCACACCTGCACACCTGGTGTCGAACCGACCGATGGCCCCGCTCGAATAACGTGAAGAGATCGTTTCCTAGGCAACTGACCGGATCTCTCAAAGCTGCAAAAAAGGGACCTCCAAACCCTAAAACCCGAAAACCATCCAAACCCTAAAACCATCTACCTGGTTCTTCAAAGTGACCGTACTTGATAACCTGGTTGGTTCGGTCACTTAAGCTTCCAACAGGGTCACGAAAAGGAACCTTCAAAAGGTCACTTTGAAGAAGCTGGTAAAACCATCTAAAACCCTGAAATGAATCTGTATGTGCTCTTCCCACTCGTCCCTCAAATGAAGCACCAAGCAGGCGGCCCGCAGCGGATCGAGTCCCAAGCATGGCTTCTGTCCGAGTCCCAAGCCCTATCGATATCCCAAGAGCCAGAACACACACACACACAAAAAAAAAGCATACACAAACGTCATAGTGATGGTTCCTTCCAGGTCTTTAGCAAATTTTAGGAACTTTATACCAGGTACTTCTAAGTGTTTCTTGTATAGCTTCTACCCTGCCTGAAAGCCATGTATTCTGGGTGAACCCGTTGACGCGTCAAAACACAATGGTTCTGCAGTTCCGCAGTGATGCTCAATATTTCTCAGCGAAGGCTTTCCGGCCCACTTCGCACAAAACACTGGTGTAGTGTTTATTCCCATGGAAGCTTGCACGGAACGTGTTGATGTACCATCAAATGTTGCTGTCACATGTTCTACTTCCCTCGACGGTGTATTTTGTGTCTCAGGGAAGTGAAGTCTGCAAATAGAGTTGGTCAACATATGTCAACATAACCATTTGAATAGTAGATGCTCGCCTTGTTGTAGACCTTCATTACTCAACAGCTCCCAGTTAATCTGTCTATCTAATCCGATTCCTCCTCCCTTCCAGAACTGTTTTTCTTCGGGTAGCGGAGGACGACAGGTTGAACGAAAAAGCATCCAGAAACTGCAGGGCTCCAAGAGAGGTTGAGAGACCGGACCCTGTAGTGGTACATATGGGATGGGCGATATATAGGGCTGTGAGAACCTCTCTTGGTTGAAAAACACTTCGTAGCATCCAAGAAACCGCCTTGTCGCTGACTTCCCCGGGTTCCAAGTTGTAGCTCAACATCTCTTCGTAGAGCCTCTCCACCTCGGGTGCGTGCACGACAAACGTCACACCCGCAGCTCGGAGCGTGTCCCACAAATAGCGCGGATTTGCCAGTCAGCCGGAGTAGTATGGGAGCGCCCACGATCTTGAACCTAGTCACATAGTCGATCGAACGGTTCCACATCTAAGTCTCATCATCAGTTGATAAGTTGAAGTCATAACTTCTTTCCGATACATTTCAAATTGAGGAGCCGAAACGAACGCCTACGACCTCATCCGGCCTCCGTCCAGGCACGTGCTTCCTCGCAGCAGTGGAGCGCCGCCTCGTAGCACGCGACGTCGGGCGTCTGCGTTTCCCAGAGCTGCTCCAAGAGCTGCAGCGCCATGGGCCAGCGAGCCCCCCCACCTCGGACGGCGAGACGAGTCGACCCTATGCGGCACTGGTGAGGGTTGAGATGTTCAGATTAGGTACAGTTCTTCTTCCAGCAGTCACAAAGGGGTGGTGTTTGGTCCCATCCAGTGAGTGGAGTAGCTGGGCACTCCGAACCTCCATTAAGCACCCCGTCTTGTGACTGCTGGTTGAGAGGTTTTTCACAGCCCCTTTTTTTGCCCATCCCAGATATACCACTGGGTCTGGTCTCTCAACCTCTCTTGGGAGCAAACGGTTTTTAACGCGTTGAAGGAACTATTGTCGGGCTTGGGTGTATGCAGTCTCCAGCCTTGTTGGTAGGATGGAACCTGACCGTGCTTTTCAACATGTTTCAAAAGGTATGCAGTAACCATTTCCCAAACTGAGACTCCATGAAATATATTATACAAATTGTTGGATGACAACTGCACAAATGAGACCTGTGACTTTAACCTGTAAATCAAGCAAACCACTAAGTCTTCGAAAGACAGGACGTGCAGGACGTGTACCTATTAGAAGTTTTGGGGTCTCCCCTTACTTTAGATCTGGATCTTCAACATCTTTCTGGACCCGACTGACCCAGTACCGAAAGAACATGGGACATGGGACTTGAACACAAGAACAGCTCCAACGGTACTACCGGCCCATTTTTGGGAGGTACCAACTGCTACTTCCAACCATCTCCATGTCCCGACCAGACGGTTTCGTGACGCTTGCGTCCGGCCGCACGCGCGCATGGCTGCGGCATGGACCGCCGCGCAGGGCGCCAAGGCGGTGGCTCGATGAAGATCGAAGATGCGCAAGGCCTGGAGGAACGAAGGGGAGAAGTGCAGGTCGGCCCAAAACGGTGGTTCCAAACTTGCCAAGAGAGGTTGAGAGACCGGACCCTAGTTAGTGGTACATCTGGGATGGGCAAAAAAAGGGGGCTGTGAAAAACCTCTCTTGGTGTCTCATGTGATCTATCCATGCGTATAACTCCATAGATCCAAGTAGCTTCCGGTTCTCACGAAGTGCCCGAATCGGTCTACAAAAATGGTGAGCTCCCATGTGAGATGCTTCTCATTGTGGCTCCTGCAAGGATCTTGCGACATGGATAAGCCCTGGTGGTGCTCGGACAGTCCAGGCAGAAGGCGACCTGGATTCGTTCGTGGTGTTCGGCTACTAAGTACAGCAGCTGGCTACATGGTTTTGTCCCGGTGGGGCTGGGAGCTTTGTCCCAAGTCTGTGGGATTCTTGCTTCAACTTGAGAACTTGGGACAAGCATGTCTTCCAAGCCCTCCAAGCACTGAAGCCCAGGAATCAAGCCTTGGACCAACTCTCGAACCTGGGGGGAAAGCACTTCGACCACCCCCCTGGAGTTGCAGGTGTCTTCTGAGTCCGGCCTCCTGCCATTGGCCGCAGCGCCCGCAAACGTCTATGACGTCGCAGAAGGCCTTGTCCTAAGGAAAGCAAAACCTTTCTCAAACGAGAGTGACTTCATGGCCTCAAACGTCGACTACCCCGTTTCACCCAAGCAACCAAAGCCATGCAAGTCAAACCAACGGCAGGAGAACACAGTTCAGCCTTCAACATCTCAGCTGAACCCACCCTTTGCAGATCTCTCCCAAAAAATCACATGGTCCAGGGCACATCGGGTTGCAAAGCTCGCTGCCACATGGAGGACATCATCTCCAGAGCCGACCTGGTGCTGATCGGATGTGGCAAGAGGTAAAACCTGCTGTCCATGTCGCGTGATGGTCCTAAGATCTTTAATATTAGACCTCATCGACCTTCTTCAGTTTCCACATGCATGCATAGAAGCTTGATTAAGTTTCCACAGACAAAGGGGCCATGAAATGATTATATATGATTATGGCACGAGCAGCCGCGCAGTCACACCCTGTAGCACGTAACTTTCAAACATCCTTGCCTCCATTCCCCTGCTTGGCTACAAGCGCTGGCCGCAGCATTCAAGGCAGCAGCATCTGGTTGAAGGTTCCGGAACCTGCACAAGCAGTCCAATGTGTCACGAGAGAACTCAAAAACCCACCTGACGCCGCAGAAATGGGTTCAAGGTCCAGATAAATTCTGGCGAAAACAGCCACCGGCTTGCGAGAGGGGTGCAACTCTAATTGCTTGCATCAACATCATTTTCTTCAGGGGCATCTAGTCATGGTCCATCATTTCCCTGGCATATTCCTTAGTCAATGGTGGATGGTGAAGATAGGTCCAACCATGGGCTCTTCACCTCCACCTCCACGCGCCCGGCCGGCCCGCCAGCTCACGAGCTGCCGGCCTTCCCCCCAACGGAAAGGCCACCCATGTTGGAGCGACGAGGACTCAGTCGGGCATCTCTGTGCTCCGATTATGGTCCCAGAAGGTATCTGGTACCCTATATGGTTCCCAACGAGGTTCCCAACCCGGTTCCGTTTTTTTGTTTTGCTTTGTCTCATTGTTTTCACGAGGAACCATGGTTTGACGAACCATTGAGACTACGGTACCAGCTTATAACTTTCTCGAAATGGTCGAAAGGAAGGCGGCTAGGACACGAAAACATACACACGAAAACTGGAGAATGGCGGTGATAAACAAATGCCAAGACCAATCAAGGGCCTGCTTAGCCTGCCACTACAATCCGAGGCAGTGACATGGATGCTGCGATTCGTGCTCCTCAAGTTCACAACAACAAAGATGGCAACCAGGAAGACAATCATACAAAGTGACCTGCGACTGCAAACATTACTTGATATAATTGGTAAAATACTTAAACTTACTGTAAATACATTAATGACCATTGTTGTTTTATTGATTTTTTGTGTCTCGAGGCAGCAGAAAGGGCCCCACACTATCAAAGATTCATCTTTGGGGGATTTCCTCTTGGGCAATTGGCCAATTAAATCCATGAAGTAGAATGCCCGACCCCACCAAGATTCAAAAGAAAGCTTGACCTGGCGCCTGGCGCCAAACCCAGTCCAACATCTCCGAAAAAGATCTTTCACACCTGACGCCCAGAATTGCTCCAGACCCCCAGGATGAAAGGTGAAAGGTGACTATTCAGTAAGCCTCATCTCTTCCAGGAGCTGGAGCTGCTTCTTCCAGGCCGCTCCATCTCTGCTGCTTCTCACCACTGCATTGCAAGTACTGGAGGTCGCTGCCACTCCGCCTAAGTCAATGGGTTGAACTCATTCGACGGTGGATTCGATGAAGGCGAATCAGATCGCATCGCCGGTCCACGAGGGCGCTGGTTCTCTAAGAAACATGGAGACACATGGTGTTGATTCTCTTTGAAACCGTTCCACTCAGCCAGAAGGAACCAAACGGTTCTTCAAATCAAACGTTTATACCGGCCGCGTTGTGGGAACCACTCCTTCTCTTGTGGGAACCACTCTCCAACGTCTACCGCGATGTGTTGAAAGTAGCGGTTTGGGGGGAACCAGTTGGGCGGTCTCACGAGCGCCGTCGCGGAGCGTCGGCCTTGCAACATCGAGGAGTGCACGGCAAAGGCTTGCGCCTTGGAGTGCGAACCACCGGGAACAATACCCAGACACGACGAGTCTGGGACTGCCGATTCGGACTGTGGAGAAACGGCCAGGGGTGGTTGATTGGGGGGTCAATGGGGCGGCATATCATGGCATATTATGACAGTCCCATTATTCGTGTCTGGGACAGACACATCCGATTCTCAATGCCGGATTCACCCAGTTTGGGTCAACGGCCAAACCCCTCCGACACAACCTGCCATTTGGCAAGGTGCCCATTGGTTAGCATCTGCACAGGCATTGAGGCAAGCGGTGTAGCTGATCACATCTGCGGACGACCTCGCCGACCCAGCGCGGCGGACGCGCCGTCCGTGCGCGGTCGGAGGACAACATCCGTGGGGTTCCGGCCGTTCCGTGGGGTTCGGCCGTGTTTGGATGCCAAAAAACACACACAACTCCATGGGAACTACCTCCTGACCCTTTCCACTTCGGTGAAAGAAGTTCTTAGTTCTTCAGAAACGTGCATTGTTTGACAACACACACTCTGGGTATCTCTCTGGGTATCTCTTGGGTGGTTTGGAACTCCGGTCTTCGATAGGGTCGACCTTGGAACTGAGAAAACGGTCCACCGGCACCAGCAAACGCACTTGGACATCGACCGCAAACGCGTCGAAGTCATGTTTGGTTCACTCAAGAGTGCCAAAAACATCACTCTCACCACCATGTCACACAACCTCTTGATGGTCATGTTCTTGGCGAAAAACATGGCTTCATGATGCCTTTTCTTGTGACTGTCGGTCCAAGCAGCTGCATCTCTTGCAGCAGCTTCAAGGCATCTTCCCAACGCCCAGCTTGCTGATAAGCGCAAAGGGCTGCATTACAGGACACTGTGTCGTTGTGAACACGGAACTGCTGCTGCATCTCCTGAACACAAAGAGGGATATGGTTGGTTTCTCATACCCAAACACTCCATGGAAATGGCATATTTACCTACATTGATCTCCTTTCAACCACCTCTGGCCGTTTCTCGGCAAATATGCCAGTTTTATGGGTCGTGTCTGGGATATTGTGAAAAGGACCTGGTCCTGGTGGTATCGAGAACGGCACATCAGCTGAATGTATGGACCCTTAAATGGCCCCATATACGGCGGCGACGCGAGGGGGACGCGAGATTTGTGGATCACAAGTGACACGAGACTCTCAAACTCCCAGGAGAACTCTTGAAAGAACTGGATTTTTTGGGAGATGTGTGAAGGAAACACTAGAATCCTAAGCTTGGAGAACTTCGCCACTCAAAATGCTGGTCAAATATGGCCCACACCTCAAGTCCTCAAGTCATGTGTATTTGTTGGTGGGTGTTCTCTCTAGTAAAACCCACGCGAATCGGTTCGCTCATCATCGCTTCCACCTGACGAGCCAAGCTTTTGTGGAAACCCATGCGACGAAAAAACATGAAAAACAACTCAACTAAAGAGGTGCCAAGAAAGGTTGAACTTGAACAGCTCCATATATGGCCCATCCCATGTGTACCACTACAGGGTCCGGCCTCTCAACCTCTCTTGGTGTTTTTTGGCATGTTTTGACTTCTCCGGAGCCTCCGGATGTTGCACGTCTCCTCATTCAGTGTCATCATCACCGCATTGTCCAAGTGTGGCATATCTGAACTTAAGATGTCTGTCCAAGCACACAGTGAGCCAAGATGTTGAGTTGCCAAATGCTGAATTTCTGAAACCTTTTGGACATGTTTGATCTCAGTAGTCAACGTTCCGTTCCCTTCGCCCCGACACCTTGGGATATGATTGGGATCAATGGTCAGTGCTGATGGGCAAAATCAAGCAAAATCTATGTGGGACAAAATCAGCCAAGAGCTAAAGCTAAAGCAGCTAAAAAGGCTAAAACCACACCAGCACGGCGGAATCGTATGTTTAACCCAAAGCCTAAAGCTATCCAAAACGCTGCTTGTACCCAACAATTGTCTTTGCAGCTAGATTGTTGCAGTCACTTCCCACAGTCCACTGCTCCTCAAAAAGCCTCACTGCATGCTCCCATTGCTCAGACTTCACGCATGCCCACATCGAAGCGGTGTAGGTGACTCCATCGATCTCGGAAGGCGTCCTGGTTGGGATTGGAAGACCATACCCAAAGCATCGATGGGATTGGAATATAGTTACTGACATTGCTGGGTATCATAGTACACCGGGCATTAACACGATGTAACTATTCCAGCCCCATCGATGGTCTGAGATGGAAGAGTCACTGATCACAGGTGCATGCAACACACAACACTCACGTGACAGAATTTTCAGAGAGTACTCTGGGTGTGCCACGTCGTGTAAATCTGTGATTCCTTGTTCGCTCGTTTCTTCACAGGTGTTTCTAAGGGTCATCGAGTCACGCGGCATGAAAGAATGAACATCCACTCTCGGTCCGTGGACTGGAAAGAGTTATCTACTGACCCATCTACCCCATCCATGTACGCGTCCAGTCAATGACTGGTGTAACGATTCCAGTCCCATGGATGGCTCGCGATCCGCCCAGGTACCGATTGATATGGACTTTGATGACTGGCAATGACTGGTTGTCGAAGGAAATGGTCTTCCAAACACCCACCTCGAGAGAGGTTCCATGCGACTCTCCAACGAGGAGCACGAAGCCTAAGCAACCAGCATACACTTCCTGCAATCCCCCTCAGTTCCTGCTGGCGCTCCCATCCGAAAAGCATCCAGCTGCTGGAGCCAAGTGACAAGCCCTCTAAGAGCTGCAAGGCTTCTTGCCAACGACCCTTGAGGCCCAGCTCCCGCACCCGCCTGAGTCGGCAGCACTGACTCACTGAACTTCTCCGACTGAAGCTCGCAGTAGAGTCACCCCGTCACCCGCGCTATTCTCTGGTCTTTTCAGGGCAACCGTGCTCCACCGGCACCGAGGGGAAGCGGTGAAACCCTGCAGACACTTGTAGACTCATAAGTCAACAAAAAACATGGATTGTAAGACCTCTTCAATTGCGCTATTGAAGTCTTCTTCGACCACGCTTTGGTTGGTGGAAGTTGTCCAGCCCTTCTGACCTCCGCAAGAGGCAAAGAAAATTCCAAAGACACTCAGGATGTGTACACGTCTACATCGAAGAATCTGTGCTGTCTCATGTGTACATCGCTGCGAGGGCGGGTAGAATAAGTGTTGGCACCGTCAAGCAGGTTTGGTTGGATCTTTCCATGGGCTGTACAAGGCAGGGTATGGTATATCAAAACTGTCACCTGCCTATGTTTCAGTCTCTGCTCGCGTGCACTGCCTATGTTTCTGGGTCTCTTTGAAGAATCTGGGATTCTGGAAATCATGTGGGTGACTGGTTTAACAAAAAACATATCTGGTAGAATAGCAAACCACCAACCCAAACCACAAAATTTGGCCTTAAGCTGACTCAAAGACACGCGCAAATCTGGAAAAAAACAGGCCCGGGACTCAGCTTGGCTTCCAAGTGTCAAGCAGGTGGCAGCGCCGGTGGCGGCTGCGTCTTTGCGCATGGTTCGGCATGATTGGACTCATTCAGCGAACGAGCGCGGTCGGAATGCGATGTTTCAGGGAAGAAGCTGGGACCATGTTTGAGTGAACCAAATGGACGGGACATTGAAAGGTGAAGCTGGGCCCTGAAAAAATCATCCGAACACGCGGCGCGAGTGATCTTCCTTAGATCCTCTCTTCAACCTCCCTTCTCATTAACTGTTGCACTTGAGTGGGCATGCATTAAGAGGTATACGATATATAATGATATACAGTACAGTCATGTACAGTCTGTATACAGGTGCTCCAAGCGTTGCAAGAAAAATCCATGCATGTCCTCTTTATTCCATCGGAGATCTTTGCTCCAAAAGCGGCTGGTGGGTGAGGAGAAAGCGCCAAGATCACTGGTCGAAGTGGCCAAAAAGCATCTTCCAAAGCCAAGCTCTGTTTTCAGATCCAGATCCAAAGAATGGAAGGCTATGGTGAATAGCCTTCACAGGGATGAGACTGTTACCCATGGTAGCTGATCGCTATGACAGCGGCTTCTATGTGCAGCCTTGAGGGGATTTGGGGGAATCTCAGTACGGACGTCAGACGCCGTGTCGTAGGATAAGGTACCGCTTTTGTTACGGATTCACGAACACAACTGAACATAGAATGGATCCGTGGGAGAGATAGATAGTGCCACGGCTCCCGACATGTTTCGATCTACTGTTTCGATGAACAAATGAGGTTCTAGAAGTATCCCAAGTTCACTTCAACTGAAGGCATCCCTTCCGGCCGGTGGCGCAGCCTTCGCAACTCACATCTCTTTGCCCAGAAAGGAGGGTGGTTCCCATCAAGCAAACCGGTTTTCAGCAGCTTCATCAGTTAAACCTCTTAGACCAAAAAAATTACACAAACCCAGAAGTCGCCGCCCTCTAGTTTGTGGACTAGCACGAAGAAACGGCGTCAGGAGGCCTTCCCAATGTCTCACACTGAGGTCGCCACCCATCCCCCATCTGACACTGAACATGAAGAGTTCAAGTAGGAGCACCACCCATGCCCTAGCCAAAGGTGGAGGCAACAAATCATGGGGACAGCGCGGATAGGAGAACATCATGATTTATATCGATCTCCTTTTGTAGAACTTCTTCCTTCTGAGAACACATGAACGCCCACTCGACCAACACATGCATGCCAAAGGACTGGACGGTGTTCCCGATCCAAAGGCCCCACACAAATCTGAGCTCCCCCAGCTGAGTAAGCTGGGTTGTATTCTCTGACTATCTCCCTAAATATCCAGTCGTACCTTGTCAGGTACGGTGAGGACGGAGACTGGTGATGTAGCTTTGGAGGGTCCAGTCGTACCTTCTGAGGACGTACGACTGGATCCCTAGGGTCTAGGGCTGGCATCACACAGAGCTCCTCCACGGAGTGTGGGACATCCGCTCTGCAGCCGGCCCTGTCCTTTACGAATTCTGCATAGCCCTGCAGTCGTACCTCCTCAGAAGGTATTCGGACCCTCTAAACCAACCCCAGTCCCACCTTCGAAACGAAGGTACGACTGGAGCTCTAGGGTATATATATGTATCTTTCTTCCCCCATGGAAGGCGAGGACGTAAGACTTTCGCCAGAGACCGCAAGTCGTGTCTCTTTGGGAAAAGGGATCGCTCCGCAAAAGAACACCCATTTGCAGGAAATACACGAAACAATGATCCTCCATGAAATTCCCATGGTCGGTCCGGGCTCCACATTCTATAGCCTGGGGGGACAGATTTTATGGATGAAATTGTTACAGAGATAAACAATGTGTATATATATATATAATGGAAAAACACCATGGCCAATATCGGTGATCATTTCCCTTCTGAAATGGGAGGTCGAACTGGGAGGTCTCCCTATTACACACGCATGTCTGAACCCTGCCTTAATGAAAGCACTCCCCAAAGTCGGTTTTGATCAGGCTGATCAGCCAGGCAAAACGCTCTGAGGATGTGTTGGCCGCTGGAATTGCTGAGCTTGCTGCAGTTGTGGCTGTACACCTGCTGGCTGTGCTTGCGGTTGTACAAGGCCAGTGTGACCCTGCTGAGCAAACTGCTGCGTCGGTTGCTGCACAAAACCATTGCTTGCACGCTCCTGAAACTGCTGAGCTTGCTGCAGTGGTGGCTGCATGCCCCCTTGCTGTGTTTGCGACTTTACAAAGCCATGATTACCCTGCAACGAAACGTGTTGCGCTGGTTGCATGTGCGGCTGCTGCACAAAACCATTGTTTGTTTGCGGCTGGAACTGCTGAGCTTGCTGCAGAGGTCGCTGCACACCTGCTGGCTGTGCTTGCCGTTGTACAAGGCCAGTGTGACCCTGCTGAGCAAACTGCTGGGTTGGTTGCTGCACAAAACCATTGCTTGTGTGCTGCTGGAAATGCTGAGCATGTTGCAGTATTGGCTGCATGCCCCCTTGCTGTGCTTGTGATTGTACAAAGCCATGGTTTCCCTGCAAAGGAAACTGTTGCGCTGATTGTATATGCGGCTGCTGCACAAAACCATTGTTTGTTTGCAGCTGGAATTGCTGAGCTTGCTGCAGTGGTGGTTGCACGCCTGCATGCTGCTGTGTTTGCTGTTGTACGAAACCATTGCTACTCTGCTGAGGAAACTGCTGAGTTGGCTGCATGTGCGGCTGCTGCATAAAAGCACTGTTACTCTGCTGAGGAAACTGTTGTGTTGCACGCATGTGCGGCTGCTGCACAAAGCCATTGTTTGCTTGTGGCTGGAATTGCTGGGTCTGCTGCATAGATGCTTGCCCACCCTGATGAAGTGGCTGATGCTGCACACTGCCACCGTGAAGTGCCTGTTGCTGGGCCATTTGTCCCATCGCTATTGCCTGACCTGAGCTGCCTGGGCCCAGCCCTGATTGCCTGGACTGCAACGCTCGAATCTGTGTCTGGGAGACACGCCGGTTGCGGTTCCGCCGGTCTTGTGATGGCTTGGGGCTGGCCACAAGCTTTCCTGGGCGTGCTGTGATGAGCATTTGTATACATTTAGTAGATTACAAGAAAGATCCTTGCAATCACCACTATCAAAGAAGAGCAAGATGTCACTCTGACCCTTGAGAGCCAAATGAGCTCTCACACCTGACACGAGCCCGCAGCCACCTGTCGTGATGAGTGAAATCCCACCTGTGATGAGTGAAATCTGTGATGCGTGAACGGGCAAATGTGGTTGAACATGATCATGGGCAGATTTCTGGGCATCTTGGGGAAGGCACCCACTCCCACGCCCCCTGTCGGTGGTAGGAGTCTGAAACTAGCAAGGGCCGATATGTGTCGCTCTGATGCGTCTGGCTCCTGATCGCTCCTTCCTCGCTCCCTCCTGATCGCTCCCTCAGTACCACTCCAACGTCCTACCCATTTTGTGGCGCTTGCAGGTCGCTGGTTGGGATCAACGCTAGACGTGCTTCCGGACGTGCCCCAAACCAAGTAGGTGTGGGCGGTCCCAGTGGTGGAAGACAGGGATCCACTGAAAAAACGTCCTGTTATTCTTAGCGCATTACTTGAACTGTTAAGCTATATAATATATAAATATCCTGATCACGTTTCATCTGTTCATCCAGTCAAGTTTCTCTTCTTCGTCCTTCGTGGCGTGGCCGCCGCGGACGCGAAGGACGAATTGGACACGGAGGCAGGCGCGGCCATTGGGCGGTAGAGCGGAATTCGCAGCTGCCCCAACTGCAAGGCTTCGCCATATTTGCCCTCGATCAAGTAGGCCACGGTGACGTTGGCGGACGCAGCAACTGGCAAACATGGGGAGTTGGGAGGTGGTGTTTAACGTGTGGTTCAGAAGGTGGCTAGACCCGCTTGGCACGCACCCCAACCATGTGAGGATGTGGTTGGAACCCTGAAATAGTTGGCTGGTTTGTTCTCTTATGTATTGTTCGAAGTCCACCATGTAGCTTGACCTTCTGGGTAGGTCAAAGCGTGTTGGGGTCTCCTGATGCCATGACCCACAGCCATATTGAAGGTCTGGGGTGCCCCAAAGACAAGGTCTTGGACCCCATTCCAGCGAGGGCATCCAAACTTGGACCGTAGGTCCCATGTCTCAACGTATCGCTGTCGACATCGAAAAGTCAGGCATCCCTCTTTCCTGCTTCGTCCCCACCCAGGGTCCACTTTCAACCCAAAAACATGCCACACATGCCAAACAAGTGGCGCCTTATGGGGGGAGCGCCTTCGCCAATTGACGACTCGTGACTCCGTCCCAGTTTGCGCGGGAGAAGGCTGTTTTGGTGTGGCGGCGGTCACGGGGTGACGCGCCGGACGCGCCGGACGCGCAGGTCGTGTGTGAAACAAACAGCCGGCCACCGAGCACCCTGGAGAAAAACCATCCGAATGTTTGGCAAAGTGAGCTATTGCCCTTAGGAATCTAGTAGCATCTAGTAGCAATGGCCCCTATGGGGCCCTAGTAGCGTCAGTGCTACCAGTAGCGATGCACTTGTTACTATAGGCAAATTTTCCAGTCCCATGAGTCCATGAGTCTTATGGATTATTTGCTCATTGGATGCGGGTCAATGACATCCATATTTCAACAACAAAGGGTCGATATCAGGATCCCCCAACTGGTGTTTGGTGTCCAGGTTCATGGTGCCCCAAAACAGCCCGTCAAAGGGTCCTGGTATGAATCCATGCCCAAACACTCCATGATCGTGGAGTTGAAAAGGGGTCTCTCCATGTCTCTCCTAGGTTCATCCACCACTACAATACCCTAAACACTCCATGGGACTATGCCTACATTGGCCCCCAAACCACCCCAACTGATCGGCATATATGGCTTACATGGAGTGTCTGGGTACTGGTTACCCCGCGTTGGTGGTTTCACGAACAAGAAATATGAGTCAGTGGGATCAATCCAAGTCAAGGTTGAACGTCACAAATATTGATATCTGAAACCACCAACCAGGACAGAACAAGTCCATCTATATATATATATATATATGGTCTCAGCCACCTGGGTGTGTATTTTTATAGGTCTCCCTTTTCTGATACACACGTGTAGCCTGGTACCATTCGAAAATTACACGTGACCCGAACCCAAAAAGCAGCTACTTTCCATGCTGTAGCCAGAAATGGGGAGCAGGTACTGAGGTAATTACTGTCTTTCCAGGTCGACTCAAGGTACTTTCCATCCATTTAGGGTTTAGGGTTTAGGCTTTAGGGTTTAGGGTACCTTTACTTGCTCTGCCGGCCTGGTGTCGTGACCTCCTCCGCCAGCACGGAGCGCACCACCAGGCGACGCAGCAGCCGCAAGACCTGACAGACCGCTGTTTTGGGGTGTTTTGGGGTAACCAACCAAGAACTTCAAACATGGATAAGCATGGCAAGTTTGATGTTTTTGAGGATGTGTATGAAGTATTATGAAGTAGTGTCGAACTCCTGACACATGCCACCTCAACCTCCAAAAAGAACTGAATTCGCTGACTTCACATATCTCGAACAGCTTAGCAAAGCAGGATTGAACCAAACCCACAAGAGCTTGTGACAATACCGGGCACCGAAAGACTAAAAATTTGTGGAGTCGATCACAGCTTGGGACATCCAGTGGGTTTTCAGCAGTCCAAGATAGTCCAAGTACGTAAAACAAAAATGGAAAACACTTCCATCATCTTCCATCCACTTCAGGAAAAACATGGAAAAACCCAAACCATGAGTAACTGGTCTCTTCACCCGGTCCTTAGCCTCAGATCCAGCTCCCCTCCTTCGCCGATCCGGTCGACCTCCGGCTCGGTCCAGGTGCGCAAGGCTCCGAAGCCCGGCAGCTCCTGCCAGGGAGCCATGCGCTGGGCGTGGGAACCCAGCAACGCCTCCTGAGGACCGTGGCGAACGGGGGCGCACGAGAGAAACACAGTGGCACACGGAAATGGATGGATGGATGCATGGATGGATTGGACTGGACTGGACTGGATTGGATTGGATTGGATGGCAGCGCGGTGGCCGTTGGAACTGAACAGCTACTTCGTCCGGATGAACGGAACTCGGTGCAAAAAATATCAAACAACGATGGGACCTCGCCCTTTCTCGCCGCAAACCACCAGCGGCCATGTAGTAAAGAGGGAAGTCCCATGTTTGTAGCCGATTGAAGGGCTTCGACATGGTGAAAAGCTCCCACCTCGCTTGGTACTCAGGTACTCTAAAGCTCACCTGCGATGAGAATTCATTTAGAAGACGGGGAGGTCAAGGTATTGAAAGCCATGCATTCCAAGTCCAAAGACTCAAAGACTTGCCCCACGGAGTAAAAGTCTATGTCAGTCCTTTCCAGGTATTTTCAGGTCACATAAAGACCTTTTGATACCTTTTCAACATAGTCTGGGATTCTTTAGGTGCTGTTCCTTTTTCGGATCAAAGTGGTACGATTTGGTCAGGGGCTCTCGGCCATTCGAGATCACAACGGCTCTGCTGGAACTTGTGGCCCAGAGGGGGTGGCGAAAGCTAGGCAAAGAAACAACGCTGGGGCTCTTTAGGCAGCAAAAGAATGGCCGGGAATCGCAACATGCCATGGCCAAGGGAAAAGGATAGTGCCAACAGCGCCCCCCCAATACGACCCCAACACAGCCAACACATGGCAACACACAACCACCCCAGCAACCGCAGCAGCAGCAGCAGCAGCAAGCAGAAGCTACCAACCAGCAGCAGAAGCAGCAGCAGGAGTAGCTAGCAAGCAGCAGCACCAGCTACCAAGCAGCAGCAGCAGCAGCAGCAGCAGCTGCTAAGCAGCAGCAGCAGCTACCAAGCAGTAGCAGCAACAGCTACCAAGCAACAGCAGCAGCAGCTACCAAGCAGCAGCAGCAGCAGCTACCAAGCAACAGCAGCATCAGCTATCAAGCAGCAGCAGCAGCAGCAGCAGCAGCTACCAAGCAGCAGCAGCAGCTGCTACCAAGCAGCAGCAGCAGCAGCAGCAGCTACCAAGCAGCAGCAGCAGCAGCTGCCAAGCAGCAGGTACTAAGCAGCAGCTACCAAGCAGCAGCAGCAGCAGCAGCATCAACAGCAGCTACCAAGCAGGAGCAGCAGCAGCAGCAGGGAAAGAGTGAGCTTTCCTTAGAGTCTTTCGTGCCCCAACATTTGGTCTCGAACAATAGCACAGTAATTGTAGAAGGGCGACGTGGAAAGACAGACATGATATATCTGATATATATGTTTTTTCCACGAATAAATGCTGACGATGCAGCCAGCAGCGGTGTGCATGATTGACATCTAGGGGTTGCGTGCGAACATGTGTCAGCGACCGAAGACTCCGTCGCAACGCTTGTGCATGCTCCCTGTCGCTCGAACATGGAACGTGGACTACCATGAGTGAAGTAAACAGCCCGTTCAAACATCTTACTGGGTTCTGTCATTCATGTGTGTAGTAAGTATCATCTTTTGATCTGCATGGATAGCGGATAGTGCATTCTGATTTGTACTCTTGGGGGTTGTGGGGTGGGTACATGCCTGTCCAAGCTTCTTAAGGATATAATGAAATTAGCATCGTTTCACGACTCAGAGGGAATGCAACTACTCTCGGTTCTAACGAATAGGCTTTCTTCAGAACCAACAGCAGCCAACAACCCCAAACAGCAACAGCAGCAAAACGGAGCAGACAACAAGCAGCAGGCAGCCAGCATCCAGCAGCAGCAAGCATGCAAGCAGCAAGCAGCAGCAACCAGCAAGCAGCCAAGAGCATCCAGCAGCACCAAGCATGCAAGCAGCAAGCAAGCAGCAGCAACCAGCAAGCAGCCAAGAGCCAGGCGTAGATGAGCAGCAGGAGCAGCAGGTACCGAGGAGGAGGAGGAGGTGGAGTTGAACCCCGCGAGGCAGGGGGGGGTCTAGTCCTGATATATCAGGTAATAGCACTCAGGTCCTGGGCTCCCACCCTCCTTGCTAAAGCAAGACAGACTCCAGCTAGCTACAGCTAGCTTTCGTGATCAACCTTGACTTTTTTGAGCCATCCTGCAGCTGGGAAGCCTAGCCCTTGGCATGCCCAACCAATATATATAGGAAGACAAGATGGGAGCGGACAACACACACACACACACACACACACACACACGTGCCGTGGATGCTGACTTTTTCACTTTAAACCCTGCCACTCTTTTCAAGCTCCTTCACCCCATGGCACCACCCTAGTGGCACCACTCCAAACCCCCACCCGGAGTCGCGTCCTTGACAGAGTGCAGCGTCACCGGTGGTGCTTTGCCCCGCGGTCGCGCAGCGCGGGCAGCGCGGAGGAACTGCAACACCCCTTGCGCCTCCAAGGTCACATCCTGCAGCGCGGCAGGCGCCGCTCGGCACCTGTCACCTCGGGAGGTTCGAGGCGAATGAGATGGGAGAGGTGGAAGGCTGGTTGAAGGCTCGGGGCCGGGAATTTCCAGTTCATATCTAGACTCGATCGACCACTGACGTCATGTGTTACATTCGATCCATCTAAATCCATCCAAATCACTCCTCCATCACAAAGCTGGCAAAAAGACTTGGTCGTCCAGAGCAGAAGTGCTGTCTCTCCCGCTGTGGAGTTCCACTTATCCATGGGAAAGAGTAAAGCCGACAGCAACCCAAGCTCTTCCCAACCAGTCCTAGATCAGTACGACCAGAGTTCGTTACTTCGTGCCCTCAACATCCATGAGAGAACCCTCCACGGGTGAAGTAAGCACAAGCAAAGTCGGACAGATTCATGCTAATATAAACATATATATATATGTGAATATGTATATTTATACATATATATATATATGTGAATCAACTAAAATGTACTGAAAAATCTATTGCAGTGTACTTAGATCAAATTCAATAATCTGCGTACTGAAAGATCAATTAAGCTACGTTCGACATCTTGGGAACTACTTTTGAAAGGACAGTTCAAGGATCAACTAACCTAAACGCTTCAGCACGGTGACCGTTTAACCTATTTATCATTGTATATATCGACGCGTCGTGGTCTGAACTCCGGAGCAGGCATGCGCAATCCGGACAAATCCCGACAGACCATGTATGCCAACTCCCGCTTAGGCCACAAGCCTTGGGCCTTAGGCTTCAACACTGGAGGACGAATCAACAGGGATCTATGGCCTTAGATTCGGAAACGCAAACATTGAGTCATAACTCATAACCTTTTCAAGTCCGTGGATATGTCATTGATATATATATATATATATGTTTGTTCTTGTTGCTGTCAACTGTTCCAACCTTATGACCTCCGAGTACAATGTAGACTCTTGATTAAAAAACCCAAAGCATGGATTGGCAATACCACCTCTTGAAATGGGGAGGCTTTTATCCAAAGTCTATCTACATTACTCCAAATATGTCTCTCCATATGGGGCCTTCCTTCATCTTCCTGCCAGGCGGCACATCGCAGCGTTGGGGCTGCAGTGCGGCGCCACAGCGGCACAGTCGAAGTAGCTGCAAATGAAGGCCCGTCGACAAGTGACTTCCTGTCGAGCACTGTTCGTTCGTTCGTTCGCGTTACCGGTGAGGATTCCTTTAAGGGAAATTGGATCAAGTCACATCCTGAGTGGTAGAAAACTCCTACAACAAGTGCAAGTGAGTAACCTGAAGCATCCATTGTAACACTTATTTCTGGCAAACCATGGTTTGGAGCACTTATTGGAAGTTTGAGCGTTAATTGAGGGTATGTACACTTTTCAGGACATATGAGCGCTTTTTGGTGTTGCAATTGGCAAATTCTAAAGCCTACTGGTTCCTGACCCGTGTCCTTATCAACCCTTGTGGGCCTTTGGGGGCCCTATGGACCGGGTGCAAATCCTATATGACCTCTCCTAGTATGTGCAAATGAAACCATGGGTTTGGTTCTAACCCTTCGGGCGTGCTTTACAACATGTTATCCCCAAAAGGGTGCCCGCAACTTGGGCGCATATTCCCGCTACCCGGGCGCAATTTTAAAAGGTGGCGGATGTGTTTTTGTTTGTTTTTTTAATCTTTTACTGACTGGTGCTTAGCAGGGAATGAGGGAATGGATCCAATAGAATCTGTATTGTGGGCTCATTCCCTTATTCCCTACTAAGCACCAGTCAGTTTATGTTGATACTGAAGATCAAAGTAACGGGTTGCTGGCTGCTTCGTAGTTTGTGAGCGTGTGTTGTGTGCATGGGATGGGTGCCAGCATGTGGCAGGGGAATGGACTTGAAGACTACATAAGGTGGAATGAAGCTACATCTGACTTTCCAGTGGTACGCTTTTTCAAGGCATGAACGCTTTTTTTGATGATGAGCAATGATGAGCTGTTTTTTCTGTCACTTTTTTCTGCTACGACGGAGGGCTCCGGAACTCTAATTTAAAGAATGCTGAGTAGTCTCAAATGCCTTTCCGTCCTCTCCACAGGATTGCTGAGTTTCTCCTGAACTGAGTATAACAGCGACTCTGCAGTTGCCATTAGGACATGATGAACATCAAGTGATGCAACCTTATGCACAAATGCCATGAACAACCAAAACATAAACCACTTACATACAAAAGGCACCAAACACGCTCAACGCTCCAGCGAACGCTCCGACAGTTCTTCAGGAATGCCTCGCAGTAGTCCACCATCTGCAGCAAGCGCTGCAAAGTTTTCTCCGCTTGGCTCGGGGCCTGAACCAGTCAAACATCGTGAGGATGTACCCCAACCACTCCATCCATAAGCATATAATATCGATCAGTTGGGGTGGTTGATGGTTAAATCGGTCAATGTGGTTAAATAGCCCATGGAGTGCCTGGGGTGATCAAGAGATCAGGTATGATCAGGTATATGTATATAATTCGATCAGGGCCAGCTTACGGCTAAAGTACTCCCACAAACAAAAACATAGCACCGTCGTTCTGAAATGTGAATATAGTATAATATATATATATTATATCGTTCTGAAATGTGAATATAGTATATACCTAGAACCTTGGTAGAAACCACTGCTTTGGAGCCCAAACATAGTCTTTCCTATCAAAAACAAAGGTCAAATGGGATCTATGTTCAATCAGTTCAATCTTTGGTGGCCGGCCATAGCGCAAGAATCGCCGCCCTCAACTCTTGTCAACAAGGAATGCAAAACAAACAAACAGGTACCACCTGGTTCTTCAAAGTGACCTTTTGATCCCCTGGTTGGTTCGGTCACTTAAGCTTCCTAAGGGTCACTTAGGAACCTTCAAAAGGTCACTTTGAAGAAGCTGGAATATGATCCTTGTGTCACGTCTTCATTTTTGAGTCAACATGTCTACACCGCGACATGTCTTGAATAACGAGCCCTGGAGTATGACGACCCACCCCCAAGCAAACAAATCATCAACCCTGTCTTCCAAGGAAGTGTGCTCGCGTTGCTAGTTTTGAGGCACAGAAAGAGTGGCATGACAATGCATGACAAACCCTCTGCCATCGAAATGACAGCAATCAACATCACAACATCACAATGAGATGCATGACATCACGTGGCCACTTTGACATCACTTAATCTCAAGCATCACAGGCAGCATATGTTCATTAAAACAACCTATTCCAGGGTCCCCCGCCAGGCGTGCATGTCCATTCACACCCCAAATCAACTCTATGGGGCGAACGGCCCTCATGGGCCTTGGTACAGCGACCAGCCTGGTTCCCATCAGACAGTGCCATATGCTGGTGCCGCTTCTTGTCCTGGCGAACAGCACGGGGTGGTTCCAACGGCGGCCAAGACCAGTGTCGATGGACGATGCACACCAGGACCATCCTGTTGCGATGTCTAAGGAAAATATGCAGTCTATAGGGTCCTATGATCCCATTACCGGGTTAAGGGGTGTCCGTTTATGGCCCAGGCCGTTGGTCCTGCTGCTGGTTCCTCATGCATGAAAGCGAAACAAATTCAAAGCGAAGATGTCTCAGAGCTAATTCGCACCGAACAAAAGGCTGAAGTGAAACACACCAATCCAGGAGTTTCATGGATTTGGGGTGCTGAACTTGGAGGGCAAGGGTGCCTGGAACGTCCCGTCCTTGGATTTGGAAACTGGACTGCTTTCTTAACATCTGATCAAATCAACCGTTTTCCTCCTTGAAAATGCCAGCAAACCCGAAAAACATTAGAAAACACACCACACACACACAGTCCGGCGCAGTCAGCTGATCAAGTGTTTCGTCCTCGTAGTCGTAGAAGATCATTGAGACGGCATGACCTAGTGACTAAGTGATGATCCCCAGGCAATCCATGTACAATGTGCACATTGATTCGGTCCTTTGTTAGGTCTTGTTACTTCAACGTAATCCCACCCTCAAATTGACCCTCAAACCAAACCAAAAGCAAAGATCCTGTTCACATGTATGGTTGTATACATTCTGACTCTCTATGGGCACCCCCACCGTGCAATAAACATTGATTTTTTGACATCATGGCGTGGTATTTGCATGACTTTATATATCATTGACTCTTGAAGCCAGCCGAATTGTAGGCAAATATTCCCGTTCCATGGATTGGTTTCTCGTTGGATGCGGGTCAATGATGTCCTTTTCAGCATGTTTGTTTGGAGGGGTCGATGCCAGGGGGACCCTATACTGGACCGTATACATATATATATATGTATATATGTATAAGGTCCCCTTTGTCCATTGACCACCCGCACAAGGGTCTTGGTATGTATCAACATGTCTTTGTTCACGACCCGGGGTGCCCCCTTCCCATAAATCAACCTATAGTCTCAGGATCCCTAAGCGGTGTTCAACTGGTGGCCACTTCGTTGCCCAGGTTGTTCACCAACCACAACCGTTCGTTGGGTCCAAAAGCCTCTGAGCAATAATGGACTTGTGTTCCAAGGTGAGGGATTCCTCGATCCCAACCTCGGTGCATGAAAATTATCGTAAAATATATAGATGCTTGCACGCATATGAATTCAAACGTGACTGATATACATCCGCTTTGCAAGGACCATGAACTCTATATATACATCATGCACATTTTAATGTATGTTTACATAGTTTTACTTGCTTTAACTCATCATGCTTCGGCAACTCACGGGCAACCTCTCGTGGGTGCTTCCATCGCAAGAGCTTCATCATGGCCACTTGCAGAAAATGGCATTGAAACTTAAATAAAACAAGGCTTGTCACAAAGCAGCTTTCCATGGATGCGTAACTGAGATGAACAAAACACCCTATTGCCGATGGTATTGCCAGCAGAATGATGGCGAGATAACCTTGCCGAGCGGTTTCTAGCTCCATTACTCTAATAAGCACACTGCCTGCGCCACGCCGTCGATTTCAAGAACACGGCCTCCTTGCGACAGGGCGTGCGCTTTGCACATCACCCCGCCCACTACTTTGCGAGCTGTGAAAACCATAGGCGGGCATTACTCCATCTCTTCCACAGAACGCATTGTGTTGCCAACGATGCCGCACAAGCTCCCCGAAAGCTCGGGCCCGTTGCAGCTATCGCCCCTGGCACCCCACCAAGCTCTCCGTTTCCGGAGCTGGTCACGGAGACCGGCATACACAAGCAAGAAAGCACAAAGGGTGCAAATGACTTGCCTGTAAAAATGCCTTCGGCAACAGACTTAGCACCCTGAAGAGATGCAGGGAAAGCAAATACATGAAACCATCAACTATAGCTAACGCCCCAGTCCCCCAGTCCGATGGACCTTGGTCCACTGCACAGTTGTAGGTTACGGCAAGTCCGCTTCCTCGGTGACTAGTCATGATAGGATGGGGTTACAGGGAACGTCGCCTTCTATGGTTCTACTAGTAACATGTCAGAAGCACCGCGTGTTTTTAGCATTTATCAACCACCCCTGTCGCGTCCAACAGTTGAGCGCTGATGGCACCAGTCTGGCGCCTCAAACCAATTTTAGACTCAGTTGGACTGGCATGTGGTCTGACAACCTTGGAGTCACTTGGAAACAACCTTGGCACATCATGGCAAAACCATGCAAAACCATGCTTCTAAGGCAAACCATGCCATGCCTGCTTCCAAACATCTGCCTGTTGGCCTTATAGACGAACAGGCAACACACACACACACACACTTTGCGTGGAAAATTCCCGGTATCACTTCAAAACTGGAGAAACTTCATGTCCAAAAATCCGAGCAGCCACTATACATCCCAACAGAGGTTTTTCGTGACCTTAAATAGGACAAACAAAACCTGGGGTACCTGCGGGATAGTCAAACTAGGGTTCTTCAACCTCTGTTCGTACAATGTGACGTGATTCCGCAAGCTTATCGCTTTTGACACAGGCCTATCGCTTTTGCAGGTTTTTGCATTTTAGTCACAATGTCAACCTAGCAACTGCGGAAATAGGGTTATCAGTGCCTATTGCTTTTGCAGGTTTTAGCTCAATTCCTGAGATTCACGGCCGCCCTTTACTAAATTAGTCATTGCACGTTTTGGCGGAGGGTGATATATAAGGAGGAGTCGACCCTCTTTCAGCACTCTAAGAGCCTGGCAGCCATCCCGCCCCGCTCGCCCTGCTTCCTGGTAGTATCCTGGCGCCGAACGCGGCCCATACGCGCCGCCGCGCTCACCGACGAGCCGACCGCGGCGGAGCGGTGGATCTGACGAACGTTTCACCAACTCGGGGGATGTTTCTGGTTTTCCACCAGGCGCAGCTGAACACCTCCAGATCGTGCAATCCGGACCCCTAGGGCGGGCCCCTATGGGCCCCACGCCTCCCGCAGACCTCACGCTCTGGTGCGGCTCCGTCGACCCGGACCCCTGGGGTCCGCGGATCTGGCTCCTTCCAAGGACTTGGGAAAGGAATGATGAATGACGAAGCGCACCTAAGGCGAGAGGAGGAGTTGCGCAAGCGCAGAGCTCGCGCAGAGCTCGCTCCATGCTGGAGCTTGGCATGTTTGGCAAGTGGAAGACGGCAAGATTCTCCATGGCGGGGACCAGCAACTTTTTTGTATTACCACATAGTTAATCAACTCTTGGTGGTGCCTAGTGACCAGCGGCTTGTGAAACAATGGCTCAGTTTAAGGACAAATGGATACAAATGGTGTGTTGTGCTGGTGTAATGATTCACTGACACCCTTGGAGTTGATCCCTGCAGCTTCATTCATCTGAAAGATGGTCACCAAGATACCCAAAAAACTCTCTGACAATATATCTCAAGTCGCCTACAGAGGCTCAGCCCAAACTCCCAAGCCCTCCACCCCAAAACTCTCCCATCACCTCTCCTAACTCCGAAAACTCTCTCACTACCCCTTAGTTCGCACCGTCCCAACCCTCGTCCGCCTCGCTCCGCGGAAACGCGGGAGGCTTCCGCGAGCGAAACCGGCGACTCGTTGAGCCGAGTCGCATCACGCTTGTTGACGCCCATGCCGAAGGCGATGGTCGCCACGATGATGGGCGTCTCCCCAGACCTCTGGAGGAAAAGGAGGACCAGTGAACCGGAGTGGAGGAGGAGGAATTCAACACCGTCTTTTCGGCGAACAAATGGAAAAAGAACGGGTGGCCCGGCGGGCGCTAAAGTGAATATGGGAGAGGGTTCAAAACTCATCAGGCCTCTGAGAGTCATGATCTGATCGCTCTTCATTTGCTGAAATTGATTAATCTATTATATGCAGTAAACGTCATCGGCGTGATGTCACGCCCTAAGCTTGACACTTCCAGCGCTGTTGCCTTGGGGGAGAAGTTCGCAAGAAGAGACGCACATGCAACACCTGGACAACACCTGGAACGACCTCCAGCAAACAGTAAGTAAGTATATTTATTGTTTCCAAGTGCTGATCTTGATGTGTGTTATTTGCAAGATTGTATTAGTGGGCGAATCCCTTCCCCCACCCACGTACACTCCCAACATCAAATTAGTCTTTCTGCTGATCCCTGTCTTCGACTAGTGACCCTGTCAGCCTTCTGTTCGGAAGGGTGGTCGGTCCCACCGCGCCATCCAAAACACCGTTGATGTAACGAACTTCCACAGAGTGACGTAGTCCAATAGCTAAGTGGTCTGCAGAACATGGCGCTTGCACGGTGCATGTCTGCCCCAAATCGGAGATCTAAACAGCCTCCACCAACACCAACTCACGAATCGCACCAATCGCTCAGAACTGCAAGCACCACACTCTCAATGCGCTGAGCTTGCAACACTGCGGCACGTTCGTGTGGCGGCACGTGCGCGTGGTAGACCTCAGCACCTTGGGAGCCAAACGTGTGTGAGGCGCAGGGCCTGTCAAATGTGCAAAACCCATCAACTTGCGCATGTGGGCCCTAATCAGCTCCGGCTGCGAAGAACATAATATGGCTCCTGAGCGGCCTCCAGGGCCTCCAGGGTGAGAGCCAAGGTTCTAAGGGTCGATTGTCAGTGAAACCCTTCGCGGATGGAAGTTACTCTCCTCCCTGCTCGAACTAAGCAAGCCAACACGTGAAGCCCCAAACCAAAGCCCCCCAATTCTTCGTCCTCCCAAGGGCTTTTCGTCCTCCGATCCACGGGGAATCTCGGAGCTGCCGGAGACCCCGCGGCCGGAGACCCGCGCCACACAGATCTGCTGCCGGAGCCACGGATCTGCAGCTGGGCCAGTTCTTGCTGCACATCTTCGCCTCCGGCAGTCGTCTTTGGTCGACAAGAAGAAAAGAAGAGCGCGACTTGCGAATGCGTCTCAGCCACAGCTCATGTTGAGCAGTGGACTCCAGAACAAAAAAGGTAAATAAACATGCCAAACCGCAAGGCGCTTCTTGGCCGACCTGACGAAGCAAAGGGCATCTGCCGTGACAAAGACTGCCTACTGAGCCGTGACTTGGGGCCGAAGAATTGGGACGAAGCCTGACACAGTCTGGCCGAGAGTGACACAGACGGTGCCACCGAGCGAGCACACGAGTTGGGAGCACGGTTCTTGCAATCGCTGCCCAGACGCTCCGTTCACAGCCCGACTTCCGGTCCCTCAAAACCGGGATTGGTGAAAGACCCGGTCCGACCCGGTGGTTCGACCCCAGACCCCTCCAGAGGATTCGGGGCCGAGTTCGGGTCGCGTCTGGGTGAGGTACCTCGAGCCCTGTGAGATCAACGTGGCGCGCTCCCGTGTGACACGGGGGTCCCAACTGAGTGAACTAAGCCCTCGACTGTGACTGTGTGGCCTTCAGCGGACTCAGTCCGTCTGAGTCTCTGACAATTCTGCCTGCTCAAGCAGTAGATGATGCCAGACCTGCCTGAAGCGGAAGATCAGACCCAACACGAGAAGTGGTGAACAAAGAATCTAATGAACTATCACTCCAAACAAACACTCCATGTACGCCACTATGTATGCCATATATGCCTACATTGGTGGTTTTGGGGGTCAGATGATCGGCTATATATATATATATGGCAGTCTGGGTATATGGACGGATGGAGTCTACCTTAACTATCGCTGCATTCTTCCACCATCGCTGAAACTCTCTGCCTGGAAACTGGCGAATGATCTCAGCGATGTCGCGGATGACCTGAGCCATGCGCGACTGTCTGTGACGATCTACGTTTGGCTGGTTGGAACACATCGTTACCAGGGGCCCCACAAACCCTCAAAAACGGTTTTCCCTAGCAAACAACTTTGGTTTTTGTATGTGAACACCTTTGCTTTTCATGTTTTGGTTCGGGCTGGTAGAATGTACGTATACATTTCTTCGTACAAACACATACAAGACAGGACATGTTCACATACTTGGTGTATATATATATTACAATATTTTATATATATTAGATTGGGTCTATTCTATTAAACAGTGGATGATGATGATGATGATGATGATGATGGTTACAAAAGGCCGACATCTCTTTTGTGATTTGCTTGTTGACCAACTGGTGCAGCTTTGGGACAGACCCAAGGACCAGACAAGCAGCCCGAAGCCCGAGATGAATCGATCCAGTCTCGACCGATCCGGGAGATGGTCACAGTCTTGGCGGTGCAAAAAAGAACTGCCAGAGGACTGCGCTGCGCTGCGCCCTGCACTTCTAAAGAAGAGTCAAGAGAAAGGATGACCATGGTTGCAGAGTATAGATTGTTTGGGGGCAGAAGATGCCATTGAGATGAGGGTCGAAACCATCTTTGGGGGATCGTGCCATCTTCTCTGTAGCTACTGGAAAATCTTCCGGCGCCAAGCACATTCTCAGAACCCACCCCAACCACCTTCTCAGGAACATCTTGGGCCCCTTGGATACCAGATGATACCAGCGACGTTACGCGGGTGGCTTATCCAAGAACGCATATAAGCAAGCACGGTGAATCGTGAAACCTTTCAACTTTGAGATCCAGCCTGCAACCTGAGTGGTGATGCCGGCTCATTTTGCTAGGAAGGAGCTCAGGAAGACGAATACCTTGACCCTCTAACTACCCTACAAACATGGGCCATGAACCTCAAGGCCAGTAGCCCTAGTTGAGTCCTAACATTGATGCATACTGATGCACTAGAATGATGAAGCATGCAAATTCCGCACAATTGCACGGAATCATGAAGCTATGCCATGGCATGATGCCATGGCATGATGAAGGAAAAGGCAGAGCTTGTCCTCCGCATGGGAAGGTGCATGCCCAAGTGGCAGTCTTCTTGCTCTTAGGCAGCACCTCACAAATTGAAGGTCCCAGTTGGGGAAAGCGACATGCAACACAATCTGTACTCGTCAAACACCTGACCCAAAGGTGAACGTCCCACCTGTATAGACCATGTTCTTCACACTTCGGACATCGTGGGTGCAAATTGGATAACATGACCCTTAAACCAGCCAGGAGGGTGCTGCAGCTGTCATATGTTCTTGTTCAGAACTGATCCCCCTGCACCCTCCTGGTCGAGAAAAGGGTCTTCCGGCCGGGTCCTATATATACATATAGCTTAATTTGCAACTCATGTTTGAATGACAAAGAATACTTATAACATCTTATAACACAAATTCAAACGCTACCATGGAATCACATGTTCCTGTCTCGTCAAACCATGATCCTTTGTTGTCAATCTCGCTATAATGATCCTCTGTCTTGTCAAAGAGGCAGGCACCCTGATCCTCTGTCGTCCTCAGCACACATCCTGATCATGGCCTGAAACCCATCTCAACGAGGAAAAACAAAGCTATGTGCACACTGACTCACTACCATGGAAGTGGAAAGTGGCCCCTTGGAAGCCTACTGGCCTACTGTCCTTTACAAGCAGTGCTTTTTCTCTCAGGTCCATGTTAGTGACTCGGAGTGTGGACCTGGACCAGACCTCAAACTGGAGCCTCTGGGTACTTCGTGACCCTTCTCAACCGACCTGATTGAAGGGGATCTACCGTTCCCATCCCACCGGTGTCCACCGAATTCGCCTTGAATTCCAGATTGGGCCGATCCACTGGCGACAGGAAGACCATGGAGTCCCTCAGAACCATGGAGGCCGCAGCTTTCGCGCGTTTTCGCGCGAAATCGCGCGAGACGAAAACGAGACGGCTCTCTGCAGAAGTTAGAATCGAATGAGACCAACAAGGTCTTGGAACAAATGAATGCCTGGGAATACTTTTCAGAGAAACATTAAGAACAATTCTTATGTTGGAATCGGCGCATCATAAGCTAGTACAATAGCTATAGCTTTTATGTAAACCATGTGAGCCTAACGCGGCGTGGCTTGGAGCTACGAATGCGTAAACCGAGCTGCTCTGCCATCTTCAGCTGCTTCAAGACGCTCTGGATGATCTGACAAACACCCGTAGGGCATACCAAGGCGTAAAATGGTAGGATCATGCATAGGCAATGATGACAAAGGATGTGCCGTCGAATAATGTACCAATCTTACCCTTCTTTCTACGAGGCCAGCTCATGTTGCGAACTCATAATATCAATCTGCATATGACATGATACTCAAGGGGATGGTGATGGATGGTGCCCACGCAGTCTTGAGACGATCCATTCATCCTTACCTCGCACGTGGAGTCGAGCTTGTCGGTCGACTCGAAGATGGGACACGAATCAACCAAACATACGACTGCAGGCCTCCTTGTTCCGAGCTACACCCTGTAAGGACTCACATGGACCCTGCTTTCACCACTAGGTGAGTCGAGGAGGAAAAGCCTCTTCCAGTCCAGCACAGCACGTCCACGTCTGACGAGTGTTCAGGAGGGAGTACTCTTGTCGGGACAAGGTACCGTGTCAACTTCTTCGGTTCCTCATGGTCCCATTGCTTTCTCGACGAAAGGACCGCGTGAGCCGACCGCGTAGCGACTGGCCGACCCGGGATCGGCCGTTGAGATCTGTTGCGCGAGGTCGAACCCGAGGGAGATGGTATACCCTGACCTGTACCGCTGGATGAATTAATGTGACATGGACCCTTGGAGATCACAATCTCTTTGCGATTCTGTGAGTCATGTAATGCTTAAAGAATGGGTCGGTTTCGAACATTTACCTAAAAAAAAGAACCATGTCTTTTTTCATGAGAGGACAACATATTAACAAGATGTTTTCCCCCAGGCCAGGGTAGAGGTTGAACATAAACACGTTGACCAATCAGCATCTGAAACACTTGATTCCACGAGTCTTCCAGACTGCAGTCAGCTGTTCTTTCCCTCTCAGCTGTGAGGTCAGGCCTCCTCAGTCGCAGTGGCGCTGCAAGCCAAGATGGGCACATTTGGGAATGAGGTCCTCAGATTCTTCAGCTGCAAGTAGCTCTCCTCAGGTTGCAAAGTCGGAAAAGGGGCCGTCGGAAAAAGGGCCTAGTCTATCCATCTGTATGATGTTCGGAGCTCGGTGGAACTCTGAAATCTGATCTTCGACCTGGCCAAGTCGAACTCGACCAACGTCGAGCTGGCATGCCCGACGTGGTCCAGGGCTGGGCCCAGGCCCTATGCCATTGATTTGGATTCAGTGCTGCGCGGTGGGCGGAAGCATCCTGGATTTTCGGAACTGTGCCACGGTGTGACAGTGTGTGCCTGAAAAGCAGCTGTTTCTGCCCAAGTTTGGTACTGAGGGTCTAGATTCTAGATGCTGATCTTAATCTGAATGGTTGGTTCTACCTTCATCGAAGGTCATCTCTTCATGCTGCATGCGTTCACTGGAGCATGACATGCGCATGCTTTCACTCCCGAGTCCTGGATGGCCCTACAATTTAGAGTATATACAGCAACGGTTCCAAGGGAAAAGCGACACGACATAATTATAAAATAAGTCCACTATCAAATATATCTATGTTCTGCAGTGGTTTTCCCCAGGAACCTTAAGTTGGACATTTCATGAGTAGTCCCCCCATCGTTGAATTCAGCTCGGACCATCTCCACGCTGGAAGGACGCGGCCGTTTGGGGGAGCCCAAATCATCAGGACCAAACCACCCAAAATCACCAGACAAAACGGAGGTCGGCCAGGAGCCCAAAACCGGATCGGTCAATGTTCACCTCTTAAAACCTGGCCGCAGAAATCGCTCCAACCGTTTGGTTTATATACTAAGACTCAGCGGCTGAGGCGCGGAGACCCGCTCTTGGCGCATTTCAAGTTAGTGAGGTTCGGTGCGCAGGGGGGAACGACCCAAGGACATGGTGAAGAAGCTGAAGAAGTCAATGTTCCTGCTTTTTGTTTTTCCGGAGACGGAAAAAGCCACAAACTGTCGCAACATGAACCAACTGGCCTAGCCAAAGGGACATGTCAGACCGATGTGCCTTGTTCCCTGGATGGCTTTCGACCGAGATCGATCCCCTTGAAATGGCTTTCGAACGCTGAAGCTTCCGGTCACTCAGTTGCGACTCGGGAATGAGGACGGTAGTGTTTCGTCACCGTTCCAGTCGGACGGCTTTTTCGTCCTGAAAACATGTTGTATAGTGTTTTTACATGATCAACTCCAGTCAAATATAACCTCAAACTGACCTGATAGAGATTCCAAGGGATTCCCTTTGGATCCAGCCACCCCCCTCTGTACTTCAGTCACTCGCAGTGCCGAGAGTCCCGGAACTCGTTGCCCCACAGGTTCAAGCAATGCCTCGGAGGACGGTGTCGCCGTTCCCCTCGGAGGAAACAGCCGTTCTTTGGAGGGTTCTCGTCCTGCGGTTCATCCGGAATGTTCTACCTGGACCCTCCGAAGTACCTTAGAAATGAGACATAGCCCTATCAAAACAGGTACTTGTATGCATTCTTACAAGTACTTTGAGACTGGTACTTTCAATCCATTTGGGGGGGCGCCCAGGGTGGTAGCTCTTTGGGCGGCATGCTGTGTGTTGTTTTTTTACCTGGCCCGGGACTGCATATGGCCGATGGGTGTTGGTTCTCGGCAGAAGCGGATCCGGATCCGGTACAGGAAAATGGAATCGCCCGGCCTCACTTGTTGAGTGTTCAAAGGAAACCACGTCAAGACACCAGTGACACCTGTGGTGTCTAAGTAACCCACGTGATGAAAAAAAAGCAGACCCATGTCCGCCTGAAGGTGAGGGGCACGCCACCGTGGTTTAAAACACCAGACTTAGAATGATGGTGACGATGGTTGACATATGTACAGAGGTAGATCAAAAACAGAAACCTACATATCATGCATCACGACATGCCATGCCTTCAGTTCACAGGTACCATGACACTGCAAATACTCGAGCATGATTGAAACACATCAAACCATTATCTTCATGGGGGGGCATGACAAATTGATGTTGCAGTGAGTTCTCAGTAGATTCAGTGGATGAGATTATCAACACGATCCACCAAATACATCAATGCAAATACAGGATCGGATATATTGCCCGTATTCCATCCAATAAGAATCCACAGAAACTAAAAGCCGCCTTGATCTTGGAGTCAGGCTTTTTGTGCCATTCTGCTGTCAAATGCACCAGCCCTGTAAAGAAAAAACACCAGAGCACCTCCATCTGACCGCTGTGTACGTCCGAGGATCTCCAATGTGAAACTGTCTCCTACATCCTTCTGGCAAATATGTTCTATTATGTTCTATTTGTTTGAAATGGACCCAGCTGAGTGGATCGGTCGATTAGGGTCGAATGTTGTGGTGAGTATTTAGCATTTGATCGGCAAATCCAGAACAGTCTGACTCAGCTTTAGAACCCAACTGCTGGATGTGGGAGTCTCAAAGAAAAACCAGAGTCAAACAGCCGATTTGATCTTGTTGTGCACATCAGCCGCTGAACCCATCGTCACAGGACATGACATCGATCCATCTCCATGTCAAGAAACGCCTCATCGATCACAAACCTCTTGAGGCGCTCCTCCTCATACAAACCTCGCACCGCGTCGTTCGGCGCGCGGCGGGGTGTGGTTTTCTAGAGAGAAAAGCTGCGACCATATGGCGCACACATCACACCTCAAACAAATCACTGTTTTGTGTCGACTCGTGATTTTGGCGACACATGAAGAGTCAGTAGGGATCCACATTTATTGAGCTGTCAGGCTGTGAGGCCAATGATTTGGATATATCATACTCTATAATACGAAATTTGCTCAGAATGAATGTAGATGGATCTGTATACGGAGAATAGTCCGAAAGCCTGACGACACAAAAGTCCAATTCCTAGTTGAAGGAGTGTCCATCGGGACTTTGTTTGCCAAGGTGGCTGGAGGCGCCCCACACATCACCATGATGGGGGTGATGACCATGCAGATTCCTGCCAACCCTTTCACGTTCTGGTGCAGCCTGCCCCACCCAAGCAACAAAAAGCAACCCCATTGACTTGTGAGATGGTCGAAAACCCCAGAGGTGCTAGAACCACAATCTTCCGGCTGCTCGCCAGTACAAACGCCACATCTTCCACCCCTTCGGCACATCACATCCTATTTGTCCGTCCATTCGACTCGGAACCGAGGTTCGCACGTCGGAAGCGACCTATCTTCCCGCCGAACGTGCGAACGAGCAAAGGTTTGTTTGGATAAGATCCATCTTCCAAGGAGCTCCTCAAGGTCTTCTGCAAGATGCTGCTTTGGTGTATCATCTCAGGGGTCACCTCACTCACATTGAGGGTTCGATGCCGAACTGCATGAAGACCGATGTGGGGGGGTCACCGCCTATCAAACAGAGGCCTGTCAGGTCTTTTTGACCAACAAACCACAGCGGATCTGGATCACCCAGCTCAGACCGCATTCACCCAGCTCGGACCGCATATATCTGGCCGAGCGTTTGAGTTTCTCAACTGGTCGAGGCCGTCGGCCGTCGCCGCAGAACTCCACACATCCCACGGCCCCGAACGGATGGGAGTTGAGCCACAGCAACCTTGCCTTTGTGACTCCCTTGGTTGAACCACAACGGATGAGAGTCTCTTACCCTGAAATTGAAGAGAACTTGGTTGACCTTGGGGTGCCTGTTCAATGAAGTCTGAATCCATGAAAGAGAGGTCCTCCATCAAAGCTGGTGCCAAGATCGGAGGACTAGCAGTTCTGCCACATATCACCATGGTACCCCATTGGGAAGTTATATATAACTGGTGATCTGAGTTCCTTTCCGACAGTTGAGGAAACGCGACACCTTTCTCCTAGCAGCTATGAGCAGGTGGATATTCTTCAGACTACCAACCTCCAACCAACCGCCAAGGTAAAGATTCTGGCTAGGATGAACACTTATCTTTTGCCCAGTTTGACATCTCTTCGAGGAAATTGCTCCGCTGGTAGTCCTCCGTTTCCATGTTCAGCATCCGACGTAGACGATCTGGAGTTCGCCAGAGAGCATTTTCTTGGTCACCTGCAGTCTGCAGTCTGCCCATCAATGCCATTTGGTACAACCACAACCAAATAGATTCACCGAACTTGTGGACCATCATGCATCGATTTTTCGTGGCGTCGCGAGTCGCGAGGTTCATGTTCTTAAGGATCTTGAAAACGATCCTCCAAGACATCTGCAATAATCTATGGATTGAGAGTCGAATGGCACAGACCCGAATGTCGGTGGTATGGACCCCCGTACAATACTGTCAAAACTGCTCCCTTGCAGCCCTTACGATTCGGGCTTCACAGGTTTGGTCCATGCCCTTCCGTCCAGGACCATGACCGGCCCTCGCACTGCCATGGCTGTTGACTTACAGCGATGGTTAAGTGAACACCTTGACCCGACTTCAAGTACCGTAGAACGCGACATGACCCTATTAACCCAAAAAAACAGGTATCGGTATACGGTATACACTGGCCAGATGAAAGTTGCGCTTGTTGATGTTGAAACTCTTGACAACCCTATCCCCCTAGAATCCTACCATGAGACAAGGCAAGGTGTGGGCGGTCATTTGTCACCCCGGAAAGCCTTTTATTACTATAAATTTATATAAAAGGGTGTGCTAATTGACCGTCCCACACCTGCCACGAAAATTAGACTTGTTAATTCGATCCGCCGCTGACCTCAGAGTGTTTTGTAAGAAGGCTAACAAGCGTAAACTTTTGTCTGCCTGAAGTATAGCTTGACCCATTTTCGATTGGCTTTGCACCAAGTCCCGCTCCCCCCCAAAATAGGGAGATCTGCCTAACCATGCGTTTTTGGAAGCACTTGGGGTGGGAGTCTGGGGAGTCTGGGGAGCGTCCGGGGAGCGGCTGTGGCTCGCTGTTCCGGTCCAGGCACCGTTTGGACCGTGTCCCCGGACTCGTCGCGGGAGCGGACGGCAGAGGCCTCGTCTGAGGGGTCGACGTGACGACCGGGACGGCCGGGACGAGGGGCGTGGATGACTGGGGCGGCTGTCTGGGGCGGGTCCGGCAGTCCAGTCCCAGACTCGTATCTGGGATGGGACGTGACTGACATGAGGTCCAAAAAAAACAGTTTCCGGATGGGAGGTACGAAGTGAGATACTCTCCAGGCACACAGAAATGTCCCCTCGGAGTTCTTCAATACACTTGCAACTCATTCATGTTCAAACTGGGGTTGTGTTCCACAAAAGTACAGATATAGAATATGATATTGGACCTGAACCTTCCTGTCGGGGTAATTCACAATTTGTGTAGGGGCCTCTCTATTGGTGACCCTTTGGAAAGTGTTGGTACAAGGCACATGACTGTGAGCCAATTTTGGCCAATGGTCATTTGTTCGATGATCTGTTGTTGATGTGGGCATGGTCTAACCCTCTGCATGATAATATATATATATATATAAATCATTAGAGGATGCTGGCCTGATTCCATAACATGCAAGACTTCCAGAAAATCCATACCGAATGTCATTCAATTAGAGCCAGAAACAGGGTTTTGGAGGTACTACTGGATCGTCTGGATCCATAACTGCAGACTCCACATCTCTCCACATCTCATCCAAGCTTGATAAATACATGCTGCAGAACGAGCCGCAAATGAAAGCATCACAAAAGAAAATGAATTGAACTCCAACAGAAAGCATTGTTGAGGACATTCCCGAAACCTGCTTCCCCGAAGGCGAGGGGAACTCCCCATGATTGTCACAAACATAAGAATAGCAAGGTCAGTATAAAGGAGCACTTGCAAGTGGCCACTCATTGCTGTAGACTGAATGATAAAGCCCCCATGAATCCTGAAAAACAATCCAATCAATCCATATTGATGCGACGTCGGCGGATGCTTCGACCGTCGCGTAATGGGGCTGACCTCGCGCTGCTCCGGAGCCTGCTGAGGATCCAACGCCGATTCCGAGCTGAATCCTTGGATCTCAAGCGCTTGGGATTTTCGACTGTTTAAGGGAACCTATACCAGCACCGAAACCAACAGGTCTCCGAACTGGAGGCTTAAAAGTAGACTTATAAAAGTCGCAGGAGGGTGCTGGTAGAGGAAATCCATGAATGTCAGTATTTTCACCCCCCAACTTCGGTGGCTTTCCAATGTTTCCCCCCAAACGGAGAGGCAGATCTGAAAGGCATGGCGTGTTTTTTGCTTCGCCCCTGAGGGGGGGCAACTTAAACCTCCTGAAAGAGACCAATTGAGGTTAAGTGACCTGAACTAGGGCCCGTAGCCTGGGGAAGCGAACTAGGATAGTCTAGTTCGGGTTCTGAAAAACCACTGGGTCTGTTTGCGATGCTGGCAACTGCCCCGCAGCTTCCAAGGGGCTGGGTCTGCTTCGACTCCCCAACGGTCACGGGGTTTGCTTCGTCCGACGTTGCACCGTTCGTAGGACGTCCTCCGTGAGGCACCCCATGGTCCGAACGTGACTCCTGGTGGTTCTTTCAAAATCAATACTCCGGCTAACGCTGGCGAATACTTTAAGATCTTATAAGTTTGAAGAAGGGTCTTTAGATGGCCCCTGGTTGTCCTTTGGCTGTGCGGAATTCAGGTTGGCGGTGCTCTTGCAGGGGCCAATAGCATGCCCCATACTACCAACACTTGCAGGGTGTAGTGCAGATCTTGTATAATGTACAAAATTCTATAAACATATCGTGGATCATTGTGGAACACAAACGCTGTCTCGCAGACACAAGCTGAACCCACGCTTCCCCGTCTTATCCACTCATCAAAGCCATGTCCGACCGTCAGCCGAGCCACAACTCCTGCACTTGGTCTTGGATCAAAGACACCAACGGGCTGATCACCACCACAAGGGGACAGATCAAGGCTGGAATCTGGTAGACTAAGGACTTGCCTCCTGCGTTGGGCTTTTCGCGGCGCATGGCATCGCAAAACAAATACTACCAGCATGCATGGCAAGATGGCATCGCAATGACGTCTATAGCTTCCACTGCTTTTCAGCACCTTGTCCCCACAACCAGCACCATTGTTTGTGTCCAATGAACGTGCTGTCTAAGCTTCTGATGCGCTGTTCTTGGCAATCAATGGCAATCATGTAAGATATCTAGGATCCCGGATTCTGAAGAACATGGGAAGCATGTGACATCATACTGAATCATACCTAGACATGTCAGGAGAACTTGAACATTTGGAAGGAACCCTGGGTTCAATCTTCCCGCACCCGCAAGGGATTCAACACATGCTGAAACTATTGAACTACCAACTACTAGCTAGTCTTGGAAAAGCATCCATAATGGATGCTTGGTTATATGTTATATGAACATCCATGTGAATTGAACCAATAGTTGTGAGTGGGGCATACAACTCAAATCAACTCAATCAGAATCAGCCCCTGCTTCTGACACATTTTTGGATTCGTGACACATCTTGACACTGACGGAATTAACGTCTCCGTCTCCTCCAGTCGGCATCCGCACAAAGACATCCCTACCATCCAGGCAAGCATTGATCGCCTCCCTCTGCTGCGGACGAAAGCTTGGGACGCCAAAGCGCTCAGCTCGAGCACGTTCCACTTCTGCATCCCAGGGGAAGCCTCCAGCCCAACCCTTGGGCCCACCCTGCAGCGCCTGCGGCCCTAGCCGCACTGCAAGGCCTGGTGCCAAGGATGCTGATGGCGGCGCACGCCAAGCACCTGCATTGAGTGCCTCTGCTCCGCGGGCGCTCGGCACCGGAACCGGCGGAACAGGCGGTGTTGGCTGCGCGGGAGGCGTGGGCTGCGCTGCTCCGTTCCACACGGGGCGCTGCTCTGTGACGGAAGCTGCGGTGGTTCGGACTTTTGGAGGCCGTGGTTCCACCAGCTCTCCACCATTGAGCTGACCAGCCGCAGCGCGTCGCCACAAAGGACGCCAGTCTTTATCAAGACCTGAAAGGCCGGAGGGGGTGGTTTCAATGGAACGGTAGTCCAAAGCTCCATGTGCAGCGGCATTTCTTTGGTACTAAACATCTTATACACTATCTATGTGGGGCCCTAGCTCATTCAGACAACTTAAGTAGGGGGTCATGAATGTCACAGTATCTTGTTCAGACTACTTTAGTATAGCAAATCACACTATCTGGTTGAGACTACTTTAGTGTCATCAAGCAAAAGCATCTCGTTTATGCAGGGGCCCTATCTCGTTCACAAGCAAAAATAGTGATGATAGACAAGCAAGTAGAGCATGCCGTAGTGGAGCCTAAATAAAAGTGGTTGCTCTATACTGCACATCCCAAAATGAACAGGATTGTTGTCATAATGATCCCTAGCATCTGTTCACCACAGTTCAACTTAAAGCCGAGCCTTCTTCTTTCATCCTAACCAGGCAGAAAACCGAAGGCGGATTTTGGACTGGTCTCCGCGTGGTGCAAAACCGAAGTTTCAGGGCCATGGCCGAAAACGAACTGCGACTGCACGGAGCCTTGGAAGCCTCTTGGATGTCCGGTTCAGCTCACCAGCGAAGCTAACTCACCAGGTGCATCACGCCGTCTCGTCGAAGACTCAAAACGCCGTCACGTCTTCGTATTCCGGGTGCTGTCTGTCTTGGCCATGACACTGGATGATAAGCCCATGTCTGTGCCATCAGAATTGGATAAGTCTTGATGGTTTCACCCATGATCCAAACTTGTCTAGGGGCAATGGTCATGGTAGGCTGTATTTTTGGCGACGCCGCTGTGCCAGGTGATTTGGGCGTTGTCCACCACGACTGGCTCGGGGATCCGGGTTGTTTTGGGTGTGGTTTGTTCATTCACCTCAACGATTGCCTTCTTTCACCAGAACACCTGAAGAGGAGGCCCAAAAAGGAGACCTGTCGGCTCTGTCCGTGGGAGACTGTCCGGGGCACCAGTTGTTTCTCAGTTGTTTGCATGTGAACAATCGCTCTCCATGGTGTCTGACTCTCACACAGGCGACCAACACAACCCAACCAAACATTCTCCAGCGAAAGGATGTTTTTCATCAAATGTGTCATTACCAGACAGTTTTTGTTAATTTTTAAAGGGAACAACCTACAGGCAAAACCCATTTGGTGTTTACACCCACCACCCAAAAACAGACTAATGGCTTTCCTATAGATGGAAGACATGATGTTCCAAACAAAAACCGTTTGAGTGGTGTCCGTCCGTCTCCTGTCTATCCACCATTGTTGGGGCGAAGACGACGTCCCCGCTCTCCTCGTCCCCGGTCCACCGGTGGAGCAGAGCGACTGAGCTCGTTCAACTCCTCCACGGAGCTCGACCTCGACCTGAGAAGCGAAGGACTCGGCGTGCGGTGGAGGCGACGGGAGCGGCATGGGGCGACCGCGAACGGCAAGGTCTGTCTGAAGCGGCCAAGGCCGAGGTTGACCTGTTTTGTTGACATGGATCTTTGGTGAGCTTTTAATGACGTGGATTTCAATTGGCTATCCCTGGTGGCACAGGATTTCCAATCACTCCTCCAGTATATTCAGTTTCAAGAGAGACTGGTCTGGCACCGCCAAGCTGAAGAAAGGTCAGAAAATCACGAAGATCTCTGCGAGAGTCTCTGCGAGAACTAGATTCAACTGGCTAACTGCCATGAAGTCTCGTAGGATCATGACTCTTCACAACTCTACTTCTTCCCTAGGGATCCAGTCCTACCTTCTCGGGGTCCTGGACCCTGGCACCTATTAGGTGTATCACCTCTCAAAGGTGGACCCATAGGGTTTCATGTCGATTGCTGCGCATCTGCTAGTGGCGCAGCTCCCAAAGCCCGCCGGCCCGCCGTTTTTCCACCCGCAGCTGTCACACAGCTGCAGTCTGTTGGATCCGGGCCTCCGATTCAGTGCCTCCAGATCCAGCCCTTTTCCGAACGCCTCCGCCTGCTTGGCGGGGCGGCCGGACGTCTGGTCGGGCTGCGGCTCTCGGAGGGACGACCACGCCGCGGGGCGGAAGTCTTGAGAGTGATAATGCATTGCATGGCCAGGAAGAGCTCAGTAGGCCTAGTAAGAGCGCAGTTGGGATCCAGAAAATGTGTTGAACAGGTGTCCCATCCCCATGTCGTGGTCACAGATTTTCGTGACATCTGTTTGACAATTGAGCAGGCAGGCACACTCACTGAGTGGTGCATTACATAGCTATAGCCCAGTTTGGATCCGGCATTTGCGGGGGCGTCGCAACCATCCATTGGCCATTTAAACTCCTTTTAGAAGAGAAAGCCAGCCAAGTGCTAGCCAAGCAACCCTGAGCAGCACAAACTATACGAGACCTTCCCCACCCACAAACCCAAATTAACAAAGCAAACTGAAGACACGCTTACACCCACTCACACCAAATTACTAGCTGCTTTCAGTCACCAATCAAGAACATAGACTTATTACTTGGGTCTATCTATTAGCAGGGCCCAGTGGATGACAATGGTTCAGTTGCAGGCCTTGTTCAAAAAGTAGTGCTTGGCGTATTTACCCTTCCTGGGTAGGAACAAGGACGCTACTAGGAGCAAAGGGCCTCGCTACTAGTAACAAGTGCCTTACTAGTAGTAACGAGAAGCTAGTAGAAACAAGAATTAAATAGAAACAATAAGCTACTAGGAACAAGTGTATCGCTACTAGTAACAAGTGCCTTACTAGTAGTAACAAGAAGCTGCTAGCAGAAACAATAATTAGTAAATAGTAACTGACGCCGCGTCGTACTGACTCTCCGAGGCGCCCAAGTCTGGCAACTGCCCAACCAGCGCAGCTGCTCCGGCAAATTCGTTCGAATTCCTCGGCAACATCGGACGTTGAAACTGCTCGGTGCCTGTGGTGTTAAAGCAAAGAAAGCCATAAAGAACACAAGTCACAAGCCACGTTAAACTAGAAGACTGCGGTCTTGAACACTTGAAACAAGGAGCATATGGTGGGTGTGTTCCAGCCGGATCCAGCAAGAGATACTGAGATACTATACCCAAACACTCCATGTATGGTATATATGCCTACATTGGTGTGGTGTGACTCGCAGCTGACATCGACGCCCATGTCACCCAAACACCATATTCTATACTATGGAGGAATGTCTGTATCTGGACCCGACTTCAAGTACCTTAGAAAATGGGACATGACCCTCATGACCCCATTCCAAAAAAACCACGGATATATACGGTATATGTGCCAGCACCACGGAAAGGGTGTCCATTAATAGCCCCTAACTAGAGGTTTTTGGGGGTGTCCATTCACAGACCCTTTGGGGTCCTGGTGATTCCCATTTCCCCTTCGGTACCAACGAACTTGGGACGCCAGGTCATTCCCGCCCCCCGCACATGGCGCCACAGGTCGTGGCTGCGTGGCTATGCCACGAAGCCGGAACCAGGACTATGGAGGTCAGCTGCCTAGTCTTTGGAACTGGTTACCAGCGACATGGTGGTATCTGGATAATAGAGTTGTAAATCGAGTACACGTTCATTCTTGGGCATGACTGACTTCCTGCAAGAAATAAGGGTCAATGGCCAGTCCTGCAAAAGAGTCATCAAGACTTGATCGACCTCACCACGGCTCTCTGTTCAGCCACGGCTCTCTGTTCAGCAACCATCGCTCACACATGGCACTGAGCAGTTCTAATTATAGTTGCACATGATCTCAGTCAGCTGTGATTACAGTCAGCCGGGCCGCTGTTTTCAGAAACAAGTGGCCGCTGCGGGTTGCATTTTCCACCCCATCGAAGTGTTCCCCCCCCTCCAAAGTGGTCTCCAAATCCATGGGCCAGTATTTTGGCACTATAGGTTTCCCAGACACCATGGGACTGCCATAGGACTGCCGATCAGTTGGGGTGGTTGACTGGGGTCTGTCTGGGGCGGCAGTCCTATGGCAGTCCCAGACTCGTCGTGTCTGGGTTTGGTCATCGATCGGAGATCCAGGGCATGTACTCAGTGCGCATCGCACGACTCTCCTCTGGTCTGATGGCCACCGGGTCCTGTGCTGTTTTGTGAGCCTGGAGGTGTTTTTCGGAGCCGCAGTCCCAATGATTTCGATGGATTTCGACCTGTTCTGTCACTGCTTCCTGAACACCTCCTGACTCCATTCTCTGGAAGCCTTGATGGATTAAGAAATTCATGACTTCATGACAGATTAAGAAGCCTGGATGGTTTCTCTGCAGCCTTTCAAAGCTGTCCTGACTCATGACTCCTCGTGGTCGCGTGCTCTGTATAGTCTAATATATTGCAGATGAGACGGGAGACGGCGCCGTGTGTTCTTCAAAGCAATGCAAAGTCACCAAGACACTAAATAAAACGTGCTTTGAATGATTGGGATCTATAGCCCCCTCCTGGGATGATTCGGAGGGAATTCCACGTGCACATATCGCACCTGAAGCAGGTCAGGTAGCCCATATCATTGCCCTTAGTGAATGGTTCCTTCCACCTCTGCAGCGAACCCCAGTGCCCATGAAAAGGGGTGCAAGCAAGGCGGCTAATGTAGGCTCTTGGATCATGAATCCCCTCTTGAAGAAGAGATTTTACAATTCAAATGGGCGGGTTTATGTATATATATGTATATATAATATATACCTGGACCTTCCACGGGTGTGTTTTTTCTGCCGTTTGGAGAAACAGCACAAATTTCAGTCGTTTGCCGTCAAAAACGCCGTTTCGATGTGTTTACAGAGGTTGCCAAATTAGCAGTTGGCAAAAGTCGCCGTTTGGTCGGGGAAAGTCGCCGTTTGGTCGGGAAAAGTCGCCGTTTCAAAACCTTGACTTACCATAGAAAACATGTCAATGCAAAAAGTGCTTCAGTACAAAATAGTTGGCGTTTGCTTGAAAAAGCAGTATTGAATGAAAAGGCAGAAAAATTGCATACTTATGAAGACCCAGGTATATATATATTTATTTAAGTCTACATTACTTTGGAGGTACCGTCCCCTTCTCAACCCCAGCTCCAGTTCCGGTTTTTGATCCCACCCCGCCCAGTTCCGGCGGCAAAGGACGACCGCTTTTCTCCGTGAGACGCGCGTTCGGACGGCCGCCGTCGGGCATCTTGGATGGCCGACGGCCCGAGTGAAGAGCCATGGAGCGAGGTTGCCCCGAGAGCAGGATGGACATGGCCCGGGGAGTCATCTTTCACTCACGTCCAACTATATAGAACAAACCACCTAACCGTATTGACCCAAACCAACTAATAATGTCGAATATAAGAAATAACAAACCCTTCGTATGAAGAGGTCTACATTACTTCATATGACTTCTGTTACAACCAAAAGGTTCGGGGGCGCCATCAGCGCAGTCTTCGGTGTCCAGGCCGAAAGGGCCCATCCGACTTGAACAACCTTCAAGCGGAACACCAGAAACCAAATGCTCTTAGATGAGACGTCATGAGACGTTGGAAACCATCCATACCCAAACGGTCCAGACGCTCCATGGGACTGCCATATATGACTACATTGACCCCTCAAACCACACTAACTGATCGGCATATATACGTACCACATGGAGCATCTGGGATATAATTGCGGTCGAGCCTGGAGTAAGATGGGAAAAAACCTTCAACAACATAGTGATGTGCCCATTCGTCTCATTGCCTGCCGACGTCTGATTGTCACTTCCGTGTGGCCATCCTTGACGTGTCGCCCGGTTCATTAGCCACGTAGAGGTCCCCGGTGGAGCGCCCCTCATCTTCGTCGAGACCTGAAGGTGGACATTTCACGTCGCGACTGGAGACAGCTTCAGAAACAGGAGACACTGGAATTTCCATGGCCGATGATCTTTCTGCTGGAAAAACCGGGGGTGACACCCGGTGACACCAGGTGACACCCTACAGCTTAGAAGTGATATATACGGAATCCGCCGAGACCCATCTAGGACGATGAACGAGAGCGTAAGCGGAGCACCATCTCGGCGTGTTACTGAGAAGGACTCCGGTAAGTGCTGGGCGATGTCTTTGGATTCGATTGCGGGGCCATTGTGCACGCAAGCCCCCCCAAAAAGATGCAAAACCTGGGGCATATGAAGCAGGGCCATTCCCAAGAATCTTATCGTGTCACTGTAAAGACATGTAAAGGCGTTCTTGAACATCAGGAAGTTACACATGCTTTCAACAACTGAAAGCTAACAAAACACACACGGTATTTACATGATTTCTGCATTAGGCACCATAACAGTTACAACCCTGGGAGTCCAACAACTTGCTCTTTAATGGTCTTTGCCAAGGTCAACTTTGTACTTTAATGGTGTTAACTTTGAAGGCTGGAGACAATGTAAACACCAATGTGTTGAACCTGGGGTTTGCAAGACTGTTCGCATTAGGAGCCTAAGGGCTGTTTTTGAACGGCAAGCCACAAACCATGCGCTCTATTTGCACGGCTTTTCAGAAAGTCAAAAGTCACAAAATCTACGAGGTTTTGTTGTTGCTTTGGGAGCAAGAAACCGTTGGCTTTTACAGTGTGCCTTACGTACGGTTCCAGTGCCAAGCCCACACAATTTTCAGCATGTTCTTGGGTTCTCTTGGTAGCCAAAGGTTAAGGCGGGAGCCGCCGCACCTGCAGACCCAATTAACCTTTGGAAGTGCTTTACAGTGTCTTGTGGCCTTCCGATTTTTCGGCTTCAAAAGCCCTTGGTGCCATTTATGCTGCCCGAGTTGCCTGCATTATTAGCATGTTCCGTTTTTGATGTTGATTGCCTTGCATTAGTTGCGTTTTCTGCGGGAAAGGGACTGGGAACGGGAAAGGGAACGAAAGAAAGTGCGAGAGAAAGAGAGAAATAACAAAACGAGGGAGAGCGAAAGCGAAAGAGAGACCATGAAAGCCAGACATAACCGGCTGGCGCACCATCCTGCTCCTTCCTCTTCTTCTTCCCCTTCCTCTTCCCTTCGGGTTGTCTGGTGCCCAGCTGCCTTTTGAGCACCTGTCCCATCCCTCCCTCTAGCAGGTACACATGCCACGCCACTTGTTAGCGCTAAGGCACTCCGTCTTGGCACTTCTGGGGCTTGAGGAGCTTGAGCGCCACCCACTGGAGCTGCCCGAGCGCCAGCCTAGCCTCAGCGATCGACTCCTTCGAGAAACGACGGACCTCAAGCGCTCAATGCTCAACGGCAACGGGTACTGAGCCGAGAGCGGGAAGTCATTGAAGGAACTGGGGAGAACCACACGCGGGTTTAAAGGAACCGGACTAGTAGTAATTACTTGATATCGATTGTACTTATGGATCTGGGACATCACACATCATAACACGATGATGCTCGCTTCGTGGTGCCAGTGGAAGCGCGCCTCCCAAAGCACCCCCGACAGCCTTGTCATCGTCATCCTGCATTCCTGAATGTACATGGAACGCCATTGACCGATATCTATAGAACTCTAGAACCCCCCCCCCCCACAATACCCTTCTATACCAGAGTGTCAATCCATGAATAATCTCAGAAAAACCTGTCAGGGTTTCTCTTCACCAACCCGAGAGCCCTGTGGGTTCCCCATACTCACAGTCGCTCACAGTCGATCCTCAGCACTCCCACGAGAGCTTGCTGGCAGCACTCTTGATCTGCGACACGAGGCCAGTCCTACGTAAGGGGCAGCACGCAGGACTCGCGGCGCGCTTGCGGAGGTACGTTTTTGTGGATATATAACAACCTGTTTTCCCTGTCTGCGAGTTGGTTCATGATTTCTTTTGACAACTGCAGCAGTTGGTACCACTTGCAAAGGAGGCAAACTTTGGGGGAAGAAGTCATCAACTGCAACACGGCATACGTTCGCATCCCTAAGTCAGTCAGAAATGGTTGAGCGGAGTCAGTCGAGATACCCTGATGTCATGCAAGTTGGTAGTTCTTCAAGTTGTTCACAGCGCACGACCAGTCAGGTGGTGTCAGGATGGACCAAAGATCCCCCAACCGCCCGTTTGGTCATGAGCCCGCATCTTTCCGAGCTGAACAAGAACAACAATCACAAGTTCAGGTGGGTCCTGGACATCAACAAGTGAGTGGTCCATCTTTAGCTGGTAACCCTAAACCCTAACCAGTCAGTGGTTCCATGTGGTTCCTGTTCGACGAATTGAAACATCGTCCTTTATATAGACTTCATGAAGCATGAACCGGGTCGGCTCGTTTCCCAAATCTGGATCCGAACACCGCGAGGTCCCACCGCGTCAACACCGTTCCCTCTCTGTGTGCGGTGACGGCGGGGCTCCTGTGTGGAGATTTGGGCCTCGCGTCTTCACGCCTGCCTGGGTCAGGGCTGAGGCGGTCGGTATACGGGACCCTGGGAGTTCATCACTTTGATCTATAAGTGTATGGAAAAACATCTGTCGAAGACATGTAGGGGTGCCAGTGCCATCATGTGCCATCGAACCTCTGAAACCGTCTGAAACCATGCTTCAACTTCCTTCTACTAGTGAACAGATTCCTGCAGTAGGCCCATGTCTACGTACTCCGCTGCATTGCTTCGCCTGAATGTACCGGTCCCATCGGGGGCGCAGAACTGTCGGAGCGAACACAACGAATGCGCTCTCGGTGGACTCAGGGTGTTGGCCGAACCTCCACCACTACTGTAGCTGGAAGACTGGAGCCAGCTCAGAGTTGGAATGTCACCAAATGTCACATCGGAATGGTGTGAAATCACCGCCCAGATATTTCTGGCGAGGTCTGGGCTGACCAATTCTTCCTGGTCCCTTCGAGAAGCCTATGATCCTCTTCTCTAGTGAATCATCGTCGACATGAGTGGATATTAGGTGGACAAGTGTGAAAAGGAAACAACATTTAAAAACACCAGCAAAAAACGTGTGAGATCGTGTGGAGATTTCTCCAGTCACCTACGAGTCGGTGCCCAGTCTGCACCGACGCCCCCCACGATCACCTGGTGTTGATTCAGCCGTTGGGTCGGCAGCCGGGCCGGACATGGTCGGACATCCGTGACTGGGGGGCCATCTCACACTGCTGGTGACGGTCGTTTTGGGGACCATGCCCAGTCTCCGAAGAGCCCCAACCGAAGCACCAATCTCTGTTAAAACACATACTTTCCAATTTACTTCGAGTGGATCCCAACCCTGATAGGTGATTTGGAAGGAGCTGCTCCTCGCGTAAAAGAACAAGAGACCCTCACCTGGCAGGTGGGAAAAAAAGCAACCTGCTTCACCGCTGTTGAATTTAGACTTCAAGTCTTTGGTTGTTGGGGCATCGATCTGCAAACCAAGCATGCCTGGTTAACACCCGGAAAAAACCACGATGCTGGCGTATCTCCTCAGTAAACCACCCAGCCCCACTGAATCACAAGAGAGAGCCTTCCCTCCGAGGCCCCCGGCTGTCCGCCAAGGCCAACTTCGAGCCTGTGCCTCCGGCACCTCAGCGCGGAGAGAGTGGTGGTTGAAAAGGAGCGAGTGAGAGTGGCCGTCTTCCGCCAAGAAAAAAAAGGACATGCTCAAGCTGAAAAGAAGAACACTGAAATATGACCAACCAACCAGCTCTTTTGACATCCTGCTTCTCCCATCCCTGAATCATGTTCCGAACTTCACCTCCGGTCACCTCCGGTACCGGACTCGGGTCGCCGGACTCAGGCCTGACACCTGGACCGAGACGGAGGTTGGTCATTGCACCGGTTGCGGTTTGGACCAGGTCACCAGGTCCGACCGCTGGGTCAGACTGGACCTGGACCGGGCCGCTATAGGGATTGAACATGATGCTGAAGAGACGAATGGGGTGCCTGTTGTCATTCATGTTCTGAAGAAAAGAAAGAAGACACACGAATGTCCTTCCCAAATGCCAAACATCCGGACGGGAAGAGTTCTACATTGGGAAGCTTCCAAAGCAACTCTTCCATATATGGATGGAAATGGTCATTGCTCTCTGAGGGTGGGCTCTTGGATCTAATTCATGCCTGGGTTTACACAGTCCCAGTCACAGAAACAGTTCTGGATGTTTCCCCAGCTCCAGCTATCTCCCAGCTCCTTCCGATGTAAAGCATCCTGCCATCTTGGAACAACCTCTCGATTCTGGTTGGGACCGGGGTTTCCAGGTGGGTGGCAAGCCAATCCTGCCAACCAGCTGGACTAAATGAGTTGCGACACAGGTGGACGGTCATGTCTGGCGGTTGATTCCAAGACCTGTAAGAATCATACCTCCCTTGTTGAACGTTGAGTGTGTAAAGATCAATCCCGTTGAGAGCATACTTGGACTTCATTTAATGGTAACCTCTCATTCACCGCGTGGGGGGCATGGAGGTGTTGGATGTTCAACCACCCTGCCACCGGTCTGCCACCGCCACGAAGTGACCACCCAGGGCCTTCGGCGATTCGGATGCGTTGCCGTCGGCGTGCGGTTCTACGCGTCCGCGGACGCCTGTGCACGATAGTGCTCGATCTGCACTCGGAGCTCCATGAGTTGCCTGGTAGGACGCAAAGGCGAAGGGTGGGACGGGACTAGTGTGGGCCGACCAGAAGTGGATGATTTGGTGACTCAATATGTGGTACCAGCTATGAACCTTCTAGTCTGAAGCTAGAGGTAGGGGGTCACCAACAAGGACCACGAGTGGAGGTTCATAGTACCAGCACACCAAAAAAGGTAGACCCCTGAAACATGTGTTTCTTTTGACTCCAAGCATACCAACAGACCACTGCTGGCTAGACCGCTCTTCAATCGACCTCCCCCTAAAACCAGTCGTGTTTTCTCTCCCGGCCAAGTAGCTCACGTTGAACACCAGGACTCAAATGGAACCAATTATTCCACACATGAATTACAGTGGGGTCGGAGAAGATGGCGCAATCCCCAAGTGAGGTGCTTCATATATATATGGACCGACCCCCCAAATATGTATAGAAGACATCAAATTGGGCTTGCGCCGTCTAGTCTGAAACCACTGTACTGCCATAAAACATTACCTAAATTGAATCAGCGTCTGCAAAAAATACAAATCAGCTCGGCTCAGCTCCTTCCATGAACAACCACAACCTTTAAAAGATATGAACACACACACACACCCTACTCTCCCGCAAAATCACATGCAACCAGAGAAAAAATCCCAGTGGTTTCGACCATTTTCCGCCACAACCCAGCGGTTTTGGGGTTCCATGTGGACCGAAGGGCAGGGGAGTACTCAAGGGGAGTATAAATATCCTTTTGTTTTGGACTGTCTTTCTTCCCACATCGCCTCGTCCCACGGTTCGTTCGTCCCTCGTCCCGTCGTCCCGAAGCGAAACACCGAGCCGCATCTGCACCCGCTCGCGGGCCCGGCTCTGCTGCTCGGTTTCAGCCTGGCTGCAGCTGTCGGAGCACCTTCTTTGCGACGACACGACGATCCAAGGGACTGCCATATATGCCGATCAATTGACCCCCAGTCAACCACCCCAACTGATCGGCATTTGTGGCATACATGAAGTGTCTCGGCAATGACACCAGCGTTGGCCACAACTTGAGAGAGGAGGGGGTGAAAGAAAGGTCGCCAAGGCCCAAAGGTACACGATCCCTGGCCTCCAGATGTTTCAAGACATGTTTTGCTAAAGCAAGGAGAAGTGAGTTCTAGCTGAAGCTACGTTTCGTGATCTCATGATGTTTTATGTCTGAGTTTATCTCACCAGAGCTTCCAAATTAATGTTTCCTCTTCCCGTACTGTTTCAAAATTGAACACCAACGACTCAACGACGAAGCATTTGCAACGGAACTGTTTCAATGAGGCCCGCAGTAACTGACTACAGTATATACCTGTGTTTTTGTGTCTTTTTGGTTCAGGGATTCTGTTCCATTTCCTTGCTGTTCAAACTAGAAGCTCCAACAACCGGTTATTGAGTTTCAAGTCCCAGTTCTGATGTAGAAACCTTCACACCATACGTGGGAGGGACATGGAGGGACACCTGTTTTGTGAGTTGTGTTGTTTTTTGAGCAGGGATTGTTCTTGCTTTGAGGCTATTGCTGCTGAGTGGGATGGGAGGACAACAAATAACATTGGATTCCTAAACGTTAACATCCAGGACCGAAACAGTACGTGACCTCGTGACCTCGGAAGTCTGTATACGTGACCTCTTCAGCCACTAGGATCGACCCGTCGGACGGTCATGACTTGAAGGTCCTGGATATATGCTTCAACATCTGCCCGGATCTGTTGTGATCGCAGTTGCGATCGCTTCCGAGCCTGCAACGCATGTTCAACATGCCCCCACCTGACCCCCGCACCGCTCCCGCAGCCGAACTGCCTCGATACGTTGCAGAACCTCCTGCAGGACTTGGTCCATGTCCTGGGACGTGCGAGGGTGTTCCCAGGGTGTAGAGGATCCGCCCCCCTGGTGCCAAACGAAGAAGAGAGGCTTCTGCGGCCCAAAGAGTCTTGACACGAACTCTTTCCAGCACTTCAGCCCGAACACATGCGGGGGATCACTAACCTGGTCGGCCAATCCCGCATCCCAACGTCGGGCGACCTCAATGCATCTCATATACGCGCCACGCGCGCGCGCGCGACGCGACGCGCGCCGAGGAGGGCGGTCCTGGCTGCGCCTGGTCAACATGGCTTCGGCCGAATTGATCTCCGAGCGTAGGGCCTTGGAGCACGAAGGGACGCCTTTTTTTGGGATGAGCAGCCGCTGGGTACATGATAGGAATGCATGGTGACACACCCAACATGGCCAAGAATTGAATGTCGAGCCACTGGGTCCTCGCCGGTTGGTCTGTGTCTGTGGTGTCCCTGGAGTCTGCATCAAACGCAGCAATGGCTCCAGGGCAACATGTGGTGCATGTGCCGTCTATTCCTGTATAAGTAATTTGAAGATATGTGAAGGAGAGAGAGAGAGAGAGAGACATAGAGAGAGAGAGAGAAGGAACAAAAGAGAAGCACCAACACCAACGTTTAGACAATTTGAACAAAAATAACATCGGAGATTGCTCAGCTTGTCGACAGTTCCATATTTGATCAAGCACATCGGTTGTCAAATATCGGCTCCATGTCATCTAAAAAGTGCTGGGCCTGTCAACAGCACAAATTATATAAATGCATATAAATGCGTTGCTTTTCTTCCAGAACAAAAGAACTTATCACTATATACCAGGACCTTCCAACAGGTGGTTCTTGGCCACCATTTATAGACACCTCTAAGAGGCCATTTATAGACACCTCTAGTTCTTGGTCCTGGTATACATAGGGCCGAGTGGGTTGACTCATGCTGATCTGGGCGCCCCCCGGCAGAGGCTCGGCTTTCGATCTTCCGACAGCGGTGCCTGTGGTCGAGGGGGGGAAAGAGACTTCTCCCAGCAGTCACAAGACGGGGTGCGATCCATGGAGGTTAAGGGTGCCCAGCTACTCCACTCACTGGATGGGACTAAACACCACCCCTTTGTGACTCCTGGTCCTTCCAGGAGTCTTTGGAGTGACTTACTAGTGACTTCGGAGTTCTCAGAAGGAGTTCTCAGAAGGCCTCCTCTGTCTCAGGAAGGTGAGGGTCCTGGTTCTGGTTGTTTTCGTTTGAGCTCCGTCGGTCGATCGTGAAGAGCCCAGCTAGCCTAGGTCCACCCCCAAGCTCCGGGGGTAGCCCAGGTAGCCAAGTGTCCAGAGAATGGCTTGGTTTGGGGTCCAAAGACCTGTTGGAAGGCGGATGATCGATTCTCTATAGAGGGTCATGCCCCTATGGATCCATATGCTACAGGTCAGGTTGGACCTCATGAAGTACTGGAGATGGTCATACAAGTTTACACTACTCCAGGAGGTTTTTTCAGGAGCAGCTTTGGACCTGGGTCACACTTGGGATAGAACTACAAAGTCTTGGAGTAGCAAATCTGAATGCCGAGTCTCGCAAAAGGGCCTCATGGGGTCAAATTGGTCATTTTTCACAGATTCCTTTTCAAAGGCAACACAATTGTTGATATGGTTTGTGCGGAAATGGACTGTCCCATGACCTCAAAAGAGAAACGCTTTCTATTTCTACGCATGACATGTTCAAGGTACATGCAGCTGTCACGGAAAACCGGTTCTGTCGAAATCGCGAGGCCTGGCGGAGGTCTGCAGCTTCAACAAGCTCTTCCCCGTCACAGCCTCATTCCTCAGGAGATGCTGTCGAATAAGACATGGAAGAATCATGAAGAAGCTGAAAAAATTCAACGAGTCGGTGGAAAACACATGAAACAGAACCCCTGAAACAAGCATGGAAGTGGAACTGTGGAAGAGCATTTTAGACTTTAGACATCTTTAGATAAATTTCCTCTACAAGGGGATCCTGGTCAGCTTCCATGATTGGAGGGAGGGTGAACTGTTGGATTCTGAAAAACACTGACGACATGGCCAATGACCCATGACCAAGAAGCTACGTTCGGGGCTCCTGGCCTTACTACGAACGGAGCAAGGGACGCTACGTACTAGGGGCTCCTGGCATCGCTACGAACGGAGCATTCCAGGAGTCACAAAGGGGTGGTGTTTAGTCCCTAAGTGAGTGGATAATGGGCACCCTTAACCTCCATGGATCGCACCCCGTCTTGTGACTGCTGGTTCTGGCTTCTAGTACCAAAAAGCACGCGGCCTCTGACCGGTCTTCTTCGAAGCAAGCCACGCCCACCGGTTCACCGGTGGTCCACCTTTTTCGGCGTGCTGAGGTGTGGGCAACCAATCAAATCCAGCCATGAAGTCCTCCTGGTTGATGCTGCCCTGAACGGAAAAAAAAACGAAGGACGAGAAGAGAACCAAAACGGAAAACGGTGCCGGTTCCGCGGCCGGTCGACCGGCCGGTCGAGCGACCCTTCCGGCCATTCGGACTTGTGACCGTCCTGGCAGGGCCTTGTTCACCTCAAATCCTGGGACCTCAAACGATCACGAACTTTTCAGGTCCGGGTCGTGAAAAGCAGCTCTGTTCTTTCTTTTTCAGCCATGGGAGTGCTCTGAGGGCTCAGGGTCTTAGATGGAGTCTGTCATACAGGTCAGTATCAATAAGTCTCTGAACAATATGAACGCTGGATGTTGACGGAAACATCCACAATTCATGTTTGGTCTTTGTTTGTTCGGTCCCCTAGCTCCGTAAAGATTACCAATTTGCATGCATTTGGAGATATGAATGATCTCAACAATACCACGTCTGTCCGAAAGGAAGGAATGTGGGTCCCAGCATACTGCAGCATCCTCAGCTACTGCTGCAGCAAGTTACGAGGTTGTTGCAAGCTTCTGCACAAGACGACCGCCTGCTGGTTGACATCAAGCCAGTCGAACATCCGCAGCATGTCTTGCACAGGCCTGAGAGAAAAGCAGCGCAAAAACACGGCATGGAGGGCGCTTCAAGCCTCTCTTCAACACGGTCAATCTGGGAGTTGGGAGGCCCGGACGTCGACTTTTTGTTGTTTTTTGAGGCCGGATGCTTTGAGGACGGTTTGGGTGCTGGCCACCGGGCAGCTGCAGCGCGTCCACGGGCAAGAACAAACACCACGGCCAGAGCGAGAACGGCTTTTTTGCATTCGACAGCTCCTGGTGTATACACAACGCTCTGGTCGCAGGTGCACATCGTTGGAAGAGAAAAAGGCAGCCTCCCCAAGATTTAAGATCTTAAGATGGAAGCTATTCTGATCAACTCCATGGACGAAGTCTACAACATCCATCACATCTTAGCAAGTTCTCAAGAGTTCTCAAGGGTCGCAAGTAAAAACAAACAGAGTCCCACAACCCTTTGGTCGCCACAGCCCTGTCCCAGCCCTGTGCGCCCGCGCATGTTGGCCACACTCTGCAACTTCCGCAGGAAGTATGGTGAGCTCATCACTTCCTCAAAGTCCTTCACCCAAGGGTCTTGAACTGACTGTCACACTTCGTGCTACAAGTTGCTACTTGAAGGTGCTGTTCCGCCTGTGTTCGATCTGCCCATTCAGAGGTACTATTTCAGACTATTTCAGTATAAATAATTGCTTGCAGTCTTGTCTTCAGGAACATGCATGTTTATCTGTTCCAAACCAACCTTGAACCTGCGACCTGCGAAGCACCCTACACAATACGACCCTGAAGAAATGTGCAACTATATTATATGGTCGTTGACATCAATGTAGGAATCCGTCCACTTTTGAGGGTCAACCAGGCTCCCTGTTTTGACCCAATGCATCGTGACGCTCGAAGGGGTCCTTTCAACCACAAGCAACACATGCCACAAAATTGGGTGACACTCAACCATGTCCCAACTTGGGTGTATGAAAACAAAGAGATCTCCCGCAAGTAGGAAGAGTCTGACCCCATTTTGGGGGGTTGGGGATCGTCCCTATACCAAAAACACACCCACTTAGCCAACCCACAACTTCAGGTGCTTGTGAACAAAAGAAACAGCGGTTCCAGACTTTGTGGGCTCCAGTTCTGGAGATCCGCTGGAGCCCAGTACATACGTTCACTCCGTGAGTGCTGGGGTTCTTCTGGGGACACCACGGATCACCTTAACCACCTTCACTGCGAAAGCGGCCGCCCTCTCCTGCTTCTCCATGACGCCGTCTTTGCTGGCTGCCAAGAAGATTTCACTCAGGGACTGGGTCACCTTAAGGCCTCGGACGACGACCCCGGGAGACCGGGTTCTCCCGGTCGGAGCTTCTCCACCGGTGCCCGCGCGGGAGCGGGAGAGAACGAGCGCTGCGAAGGATCTGGAGCTCTCCATCTCCACACGTGTCTGAACCACATGATTGGGACTTCACCGCAAGGTTCTCTCTTTCGTTTCTGCTGGAAAAACGACGTATGCCATATATACATGGTTCAGGCTAGGGGTCAATGTAGCTAGATTCCATACATGGAGAGTGCCTAGGTCCAGCGGACACTGGTAGCTACCTAATTATGCGAGATCAAAGCCTGCACGAGGATGAGATTTTCTGCACGGCCCTCCAAGCCCACGGAGGAGGCGGAACGCCGGCTGGCCTTGGATGGGGTTCCAAGTAGCCTAGTACCACCACTCTCCCCTCAGTTCAGTCGCCACTTCACGTGCGGACTAAAATGGGTCCCCAACTGACACGACACAGCGCCTAAGGAATCCTATCACCCTTCGATGGGAAGTTGACGTGCGGGGTTCCTAGGTTGGGAGACAATAACCCTCAGTTCTCTCGACTGCAACTCAACCGAACGCAGGGGCTCCGAACGAAGGCGTTCTGCTTTCTCCTCATCTTTCCTCTCCTGGAGTTGTCGCACCTGGAGTTGAGGTGACCACAGCGAGCGAGCGGACCGCCCATCTCGAGTAAGCTGAACGTCACGAGACTTGATGGCTGTAGAATCGATTCGATCAGTGATTTGAGGCCCCCGTTCGAGACGGTTGGCTGCTCTTTGACTGGCCATGTTACCATACTTGCGTGATATACTTGCGTGTATTCTTTTAATTACGAAATGATATCCTGATCCACCGGATTGGATGCTTGTCAAATTAACCCCCTGGCCTTGGGAATATTGTGCCAGCTATACGGGTCAGAACCTGGAGCCTTGGCTCACCATGTAGCTTCACCTGGAAGAGGTAGGTCAACCAGTCGGTCTCCTCGTTTGAACCAGCCATATGTCTCTTAAATCACAGATCTACCGCAGCTCGTCCACACATATAGTCATGGCTTTGCTGATTTCATGTCGGCACTTGGGTTGGTCAAAGGATTTTTGGGGTGAGATTGATCTCTTGAGCCAAAAGCCCAAAGAAACCTACACAGGGCAACCCACAAAACACGAGGTACTCACTGAGGTACTCACTGAGGTACACGTTCGACATGTCCAGACTTGGTTCAGGCAATTCATTCATCCAGTTTCCCTGAAAGTTCGGACACGTCGCCCGCCCGGACTGTCCGATCGATGATCACCGCTGCGGGGGCTTGCTTGCTGCCGGATGAGTCGAGTCGAGGGGGCACGGTCAGCAGGTCTTTTCCAAGACCGCAGGATGTGGTGGAAGGTTTCATCCCCGAATCCAACGAGGGTGGGACTAGCTGGTGTTTGGGTGGGTCAAAGAAAGAAGCGTCCCGCTGTTCCAAAAGCCCAAGGTTCGGGATTGTTGGTGTGGCTTGCTCCTAGTAGGCTTTGGAATATCTCGATGATGCAACCAATGGCAAAAGAAAACACAATTTGACACTCCCTGGAACAACCATGGAAGTGGATGGCTCCTTGGATACACTTTTGTGAATACCAAACAGGTGGTTTGCCGCTTCCATGAGAAAAAGGAAGTGTACCAACCCAAACTCACCCAGACTTAGAGCAGCGTATGCAGTGTGAAATCTGGGTGCCGGGGAAACCCACTCTCCTCATCCCTTCCGCTCCTCCAGCATATTGTCGCTAACGACCTGAGCTTCAAGACAAGCAAAGCAAAGATCCTGGAACATCTCAACTGCACAGAACACATCTCCTGAACTGGGTGAAAAGAGATTCCTCTATTCTCAACAGGGAACTTGGCGGTGGTGACGTGACCAATTCCTTTTGGACCACCGTGCTCCTCTCACCCACACACCATCCCAGACTGACCTGGACCGACCTGAGCGACGGACTCCCCGTCGCTGCTCTGGGCCTCCCTGCGCCGGTCATGATGCTGAGAAGGGCCCAGCTGGATAAGACCGTGAAGAGCACCCAGACCTGGATCGATCGTCGGTGTTTTTCTTGTCCTGCAGGACTCGGTGGAGGGTTCCACCCGTTTTCCGATGATTCGTTGGGCCGGCCAGACTCTTAATAGCAGCGGTATGTACATCCGAAACGCACAAAAAAAAAACCGCCGTTGGTAGGGAGTTTAGATCCCAAACTCCTCAACATGGGGGGTCTGGTCCTTTTTGGTAAAGGTCCATGAGTCTCTGGGATCAGTCATGACTCATGACCCTCCAACAATTAAGGAAGCTGAGCAGGCCCCTACAAAGGGAGAGTCCTCTTTGAGGGGCCTATGTCTAATTGTTTCAAGGAGTGCATTGCTTTGTCAGGTATCTTTCCTTTTGGGGTCTTTAAATTCTGCGAGGTCTTTAAAATACTTTAGATTCTTATATTGATTCCCTTTAAATTATGCGGGTTCCAATTGTTTCTCAGAATAGATCTATTTGATGGGGACTCCTGGATCTATCCCCAGAAAGGTATGCTTGAATCAACATCCATCAGAAAAAGCTTGTTCTCCATACCCAATCTTCATCCAATTTTCAATCTTCGTGGACTCCCCAACTTCCTCCTACCTCCAACCTCGACCTCCTTTGCCCCGTTCGCAAACCGCGAAGCGGCGCGGGTCGCGAGCGGACGAAGGCCGAGCGGGCTCGTTCTCTCTCTGGAGGCTCGGTGCTCCGAGCCGGCTTCAGAAAGGGGAAGGTTCTGAAGAGAGGATCCACTTCTTCCCAGTACTGACCTCGCACGAGGTGAGGAAGCTTAAGCAAGTCGAAGCGCGAGAAGGAAGAGTTTGGTGAGGGTGGGTAGTTGAACCGCAGGGCTTTCAGCATCACTGCATTGAGGTTCTGGGGTTCCAGCATCGAATTTCGCAGGGGTTTCGTCGGAAATAGAACCCAACATCCAGGTGAACCGTCAGGTTTCGTCATATATGTTGTGTGCTGAATGCAACACACATCCAAAACCCAATCTCCTTGAACTCCAGAACTTCTTGGAAATCAAAACAAGTTCTGGACTCATATTAGGATTGATCCGGCAATCCAAATTGCTGGATATGCCATGACCTTCCCTGGAAGTAACATGGAAGTGGACAATGGATGAAAATGGCCCCTTGGAAAACCATTTTCCTCTAGAAACAGCGGGGTGAGCTCTACACTTCCATGAGAGTTCCGGGGAGAGTAAGTGGGCTTCCTAAAAGGGATGGAGATGAAGTCCAAAGAATTCGGCAGGGCAGTCAGGCCCTGAAGTCAGGCCAGTTGCAAATCTTCCACATCGAACAGCCAAGTCATAGATATCATATATATAATATATATATATATATATGCCAAAGATGCTCATTGTCATCCAACTCCCAACCTCTTTCATCTTTCTGTGCCCTCCTCGCATCTTTGGCGAGAACCTCTCCATCGGCGCAGAACTGCACATCGGCGCTCGCTACAGGAACTGCGCATGTGCCTGCCGGCCCGACAGCGCCAGGCGTCGGCACCGTGGCGACCGCCACGGGAGATCTTTCAGCACGGCGACAGCAGCCGCGACCTGCGCATGGCAGCAGGACGGCGCCTGCGGATGTTGTTCGGGGACATGGATTTATACTCCCTAGGGCTCCAACCATATCCTCAGAAGGTGGTTAGACCCCCCTGGCACCCACCCCAACGATCTTCTCAGGTGGTGCTTGGAGCCCTAGACACTTCAAGGTTGACGATCCTAAAGAGGCAAAACGAAAGCTTTGAAGAATCCAACTCGCATTTCTGGACCTCCAGACATGAACCCCAACTCATTGAGTTGGTGCGCCTGAATGGATGAAAGCCTCTTGAAGGTTTTCAGCCACACATGATCTGGGTGTCATCCTGTTGCAAATGTCTGCTGGAGGAGTGGAGCCTGCTTCAAAAGAGGCAAGAAGGGAAGAAGATGAAAGAAGGCCAATGAAACAGAAGCAGGCCATGTTGTGGAGCTCCAACGAGTGAGTGGAGACGCAAAAACTGCCTGTGGTGTGGAGCTCCGGTCCATCGGTGAAGATCTGAGTTCCACATGATATTCCCAATCTGAGTTCAACTAGTCGACCTACAGGTCGACCTACACCGGTCTGCCTCAGGCAACTTGGCCATGAGTGTCTCGTCCTCGGAGAAGCCGCATGGATCCAACCCTGGTCACCCATCCGGTCAGCCCACTGAATCAGCATTACACCAAAAACCCTACGCTTCAAAGTTTAACTTTGTATTGGATGAAATGCGATGTTACACATCGTGTTATGGGCATGTAGGGGAAGTATCAAGAAGGACTGGACTCAGCCAAGTAACATGAAAGCCAACGGTCTGGGCCAGCAATACATCTCGCTCCACATAAAATCTGGGAATATGTAGCTGGAAAACTTTCTTTTTCGGTTTACCGTTCGAAACAATCTACAGTACTATGGTTGCAGGTTCACTGAAGTGGATATGTTGTACAACAACAGCAACAGCAACAACAACAACAACCACAACCACCACAACCACAACAACAACGACAATCACCACAACCACAACCACCACCCAAACTCACCATGCTCCGCCTGTGTCAAAACCCTCCCCCTCCGGCACGCTGCGGCACGCAAAAGGGTCCTGTGGATTCGGCGCCGTCTCCGCCGGATTCGACGTCTCCTCAGGATTCGACGTGGATTCGACGTCCTCGTCACATTGAGGACTCAGGTGTGCACCTGCGGGGGAAACCCAAAAGTCTTTGCTTCACACGTTGTTTTCATCCTGTGTTTCACATACCTTCCATGTGCTTTTTGTTCGCTTCCTTCGTTCTCACCCCAGCGTGGGCGGTCTACAGGACAGAAAACGCTGGGCTTTTTGGAGCCACGGAACCGCCGGTGATGGACGAGCGCCCCCATAGGCACAGGGGATCGACCATGATTGAAGTCATAGGGGAAAACCGTGTGATAGTAATGGGTTTTAACTGCGTGACCATAGTTGAATTACTTCAAGCCTCAATCAGGTGTAATTACTATCACCTGAGTTGACAACGCCTCAATCACCTGAAGCCAAACCAGGTTTTTTGAGGGGGGGCAACCGTGAATCACATTCCGAACACCAAATCACTGAAACACGGCCCAGATCTCCAAAGGCTTCGACAAAAAGGCTTCAAACATTCGACTGTTGGTGATTGGTTCTCCACGTTGCACTCCGTTCGACTCGGTTGTGTGGTACAATGTGGTACACTGGTACATCCCTGACTTCTCAGAAGCTGAAACCCTGATCAAATATTCAGCTTCTGGGAGACAGATGCAATGAGATATGTCTGCTCCATCTCATAGAAGTCTGCCAAGAGTTGTCACCTGCCTTGTTCCTCATCAATGAAAACGTCCCTGCAGACGTAAAGAAAGAAAAAAAGAAAAGTGCCAGCATGGACAAAATCTGGACCATCTGATACCTGTGGCGCAGGCCACACAGCCATCGTCTGAAAAGGCAGCCTTTAAAGTCACCTGGTGAGCCCATAGGACTGCCATCCGTCTTGATGGCCATCCGCGTTCTCACAGAGCTGATCGCGGGATCGCTACTAATTAGCGGAAAGGACTCATTGACAAAGGGTGGCCTGCGGGCCGTGGAAAAAACACAGACCAAAAAACAATCTCATTGGACATCGGTCGCACCAATCAACCTCTGCACCAAGCAAATGCTTTACCCGGCAGTTTCCGTCAGCCTCAAGCCTGGTGAGCTCTAGGGCTGCAACCATATCTTCAGAAGGTGGTTAGAGCATGTCGGAGCCTTAAGGGAGGTTTAAAAAAAACAAGTCGATCCTCAGACCGCCATTCGGATCTGATCTGCCTTTTGACTGCAGTCAAGTGACGACGTGGTTCTCTGGAAGCGACGCATCCTCCTGAGCACACAACAACGGGCTATTATGGTTTCCTTGGTCAGTATTGCCCAGTGAAAAAGTAGATGTCTTGACAACCATATTGTAATGCAGGCTCAGCCACAATAGCACTCTGATCGATCATCACGTACTGATCCACCATGTACAGGTGACATTCATGTGTTGATTTATATAGTTCTTGTATGTTCTTGTCACCAAACGTGCTCTGGAACCAGGCCACAAGAGTACATACAGCATAACAGAAATCTACGACCATGCCATGTGTGCGTAACGCACATCGCCGTTTACGGACCTCGCAGTCCATTGTCTCGACTGTGATGACTCCTTGTGGGAGAACACAACTAGGTACAAGCAACATTGGGGGCCAGTAGACAGCCTGTCAACAGTAGACAGCCTGGCAGGTACTACCTGTTCACAGCACCGGCTGGCCCATCCAGCACACACACACACATGTCCATCAACCATCAACTCCACGGAAGCCCCCCGGTCCTCGAGCGTAGGAGTCTTGGCTAAATCTCTTCCACCCAACACGCCATCCCAATGGATGTCGTCCGGCCTCGATTCGGAAGGCTCCCGCCCGGATCGGTGCAGTGCCACCAGCGCAGTGGCGGATCTCTGCAGGTGCCGCATGTGCCACATGTGAAAACAAAAACGAAACGCGCTGAGTGAGAAAGTGAGACATGTGATGACATGGCAGTCTTCAAACAGTGGAAGCCTATGCCACATGATGCCACATGTCTTGTAGCCCGTGGGCTGTTTTTCTGTCAAACTTTGCAACTGTTGCACGGAAACTCTTTGCAACCAGGCTACTCCTTCAGCAGCTTGCCATACGTTCGTGCAGACATTTTGGTGTTTGCCAGCACATTGTCTCGAATGAGGTGCCCAGCTGCTGCTATGGCCATATTGGAAGCAGTTTTGGCCTGCCAAGCTGCTCCGGTTCTGGGAGTCTGGTCCATTCCATGGGTGCCCCGACGAAGCGTGCGGACCCCGGTTGATGTTGGAGAGGCGGGACCTCCTGTGGTCGTCCCAGGGTCCCGCCATGACCCACAGCCTGGCTGTATGACCTCATTCCAAGGCCCGGAACATCATCCCATTTCATCACCAACTCCTTGCTAGGGATCCTCAGAAGGTACGACTGGACCCTCCATGCCGTAACATGTGTCGAACGCATCGCCTTCTAAGAGGATTCAATTGGTATGTGGATCCACTTGCCTGTCAGGCTGACGCACCCTCATGCACCCACTGTCGTCCTCATGGTGACCCATGGTGCCAATGGTGCGACTTTCTAGAAGATGGCTTTCCGTGGTTGGAAAAGACAAAGTAGTCAGGTCTACGATCCAGGCAAGTCCCTAATTACACATACGGCGTGTGGGGTTCCGAACGTGGGGGTATCCTGTTTATTTTTGTTTCAAAGGCACAAGCAATACCTCCTTGCAATGGAAGGAAGTCACTGACCTCAACACTCTGAAACCTTTACAGACACTTTTTGAAATTGCTTTGGTATGACATGGTATGACTGAAATACAATGACATGTACAACATATGACTTCTCATTGACTTCTCGTCTTCAGTTGTCCTGTTGTAAGTGACGGAGTGGTTTCAACTGTTCAAAGAGCCATGGGCAGGTCCAAAACACATGTGTGAAGCCGTCCAGAGGTGCTTGTTTGCTCCCTAAGTCCTGAGTGACTCCCTTTCTGTTCAAGGGGCAATAGGATTATATTTTGAGGGTAGTTCCACCACAAGTGACCCTGACCTGGTTTGGACAAGCAAGCTTCAAGCTGGTTTCAGCTAACTTACTCCTCCCTGGCTGAGCTCCCAACCACATGTAAAGCCATATCAGCTTGCCGCGAAGCGATCACTGCCCGCTCAGCGTTCTCTCGAGCTTCATTGGTCCTCAGTGCTTCGATAAATGGGCAATGGCGATGCTGTGGAAGTGAGTTCCCAGCGCAACATTTGGTCCTACAGGTATATCTTGAAAGACTATCGAGTCGGACTCTCCCCCCCCAAAAAATACATCAAACCAGACCCATGGGTTGGAGCACATTACCCCGGGAGACCGGGGTCTCGAATAAAGCCCCTACTGCAGCCCTAGGTCCACTCCTTTGTCCTTCTACGTCGGTTTTGTCCACTCGCGGAGTCGCTCCCGTCGACTGAGATCCGATCCACCACTGCAAGCCACTATCATTGATGTCCTGATTTCGGCGGCGGACGCGTGTGACGCGTGTGACGCTTGCGCTTGTTACGCGCTGTTACGCGGATGAAGGGAAGGGACGGCTCTGCACGGGGAAAAGCCCCGCAACAAAAGCAACACATCGGACGGTTTGGTCCGGTGTGGGGTCAGGTTTGGGTGGCAAGTGGTCAAAGAGGTGTGGATGGTCTGGTGGTGTGGTTGTTGTGTTTCTTTTTTTCAGAAAGCGGCTCGTCTTTTTTGGAAAGTTTGAGGACTGAACTTGCAAGGTAATTGATCAAAATTATCTAACCGCTTTAGAGGGGCCAGTGAGCCCAGCGAGCTCTTGAAGAGAATCAGGTGTTCGATATGCTGGAACGAAGAAGTTCACCGTAGTTCACCAATGCTTGGCCTACGATCATCTTTTCGGTTTTGGCCATTCCTTCTGGCCAACCTACCACACTTTCTTCTGGGTCGGCTTTTAGCCTGTTTCCTGCTCGTTACAACAAAGGCTTTTGCAAGGCCCGTTCGGGGTCAGCACCGACAGCGCACTCCCGCCCTGCAGCGGTGCAGGGCCTTCTCTGACTAAACGTCGACTGATGGGTCTAGAGAGGCAATCCTGGCATCCGCACACATCCAGCTTCTTCCGCTATTTCTTACCCCGGGTGTGCCAGCATGACCCAGACCCAGTAAAACAAGGTCCTTGAGATCATGTTGGTAGTGTTTTTGTATCAACTCGAGTCAAATGAGGTCAAATTGACGCCGATTCCCCTCCGCACCAATTCATCACACCTCCGATCCGGCCGAGAATTCGCATGTTTTTGTTCGTCCAGGCGGCCGGATTGGGGTCCAACTGCTGCTGCGGGTTGGTGGGATCAAAGTCAAAGCTCATATTCGATCTCTCAAACGCACCGTGCCATCGCACGCTGCGAGGCGCTGCGAGGCGCTGCAATCATGGCCATGACATGTTCAGCACATGATGCGGAGGAGCAAGTGACGAGAGTCAGATCCTGGATGTTGGTGTGTGATAGAAATAAGGATATGAAAACACAACAGAGGGGTGGGTCACAGACACTGCCCGTCCTGCGAATGCATTGTTTCGCGTAATGTTGATTGTGGGAGCATCTTATTCATAAGATCCTGACATGGACTTGAGCCTCTCCCCAATGCACATGTCTGGCTGATGCACCTCAGCAAATTCTAATCTATTTTCCACCTCAAGATCCAAGACACAGAACCTCAAAATGAACATCCGCACCTATCCACACCTCCCTAAAAACCGTTGTAACGATGATTCCTCTACCAGCATCTCTTCAGATGGTGCATCCGGAAGATCTGGATGACGACCAGGGGCACCGACTGTTCATCAAGCCGAAGAGCGTGAAGAGTGAGTCGAGCCTGAAGTGCTGGAGTGGCGAGATGGAACTCCAAGTGGCAAAGGGGTCCCTTCTCCCTCTAGCTGCGACAAGAAGTGCTTCCACGTAGGTCGTATTAATATAGTGAGAGCTGCCAGTGGGAGACCGACAGCAGTGACAAAAGTGCCCCCTCGAGTGACCGACAGCAGCGACCTGGAGGTGGACATTGATCGGATTGGAAGTGACGTATTTGGTGGCCCAGAAAGCTGAAGATCTGACAAATGGAGCCAGTTCAACCCCCCTGATACATCACCTCTCAGAAGGTGATGCTTTCGACATTGTTGTGTAGGTGCCAGGAGGGTCCAAATACCTTCTGACGTTCGGTACGACTGGATCCCTAAGGTCTGTTGATCTCTGTGTTCTTCAGGGGGATGTGGTGCGTGCGTCTTGCGGGCGCTCCTTGAGGTTTTACACGTCGAACCTCACACCTCATAAAAGAAGGTCTCCGGCATCTCAGGGTTTTCCAAGACTTCAAAGTGACAAATAGGAGTCAAAGTTGGTCTAATGCAACCGCTCTTCCGCGATATAGTCATGACTCCTGAACAAACAGAAGCCATGCAGTCTCTCGAGCATCTTCCTTTTGTCTCTCCCAGAATCCTCACTCTCAAGATCCTCACTCTCAGGCAGGGGCACTGTACTGAAGAGTACCCGGACTTTGGGGTCAAGATCCTGGAAACAGCGAAGCTTCAGAAAGCTGTCTGATCCATTCGGACAGCTTAGTGGACTTGTGATCCCATGCGTCACACGGGTTGGCCCCAACAAGGCATGCAATTGCCTCGTAAATGGACACATGTTCACACAATCTGCTCCCATAGTCTTGGCCGTCCAGGAACCGATACAAACATATTCATGGGCGGTATGGGGATTTGTATCATCAGAAGGGGAACATATGGGAAAATAACACATCACCTTAGGCAAAACCAGGTAGTTCTTTATGATCAAGATTAAGTTCCACTGATATCCACTGATTCCATTTGTTTGCGACGACGGAAAGTGGATCTGTTCGACACACAGTCCTCAGCACCTCTCAGCATGGCATTGCCTGAGAGGATTTCAGGCATCCAAGAGAACACAAGGGCCAAACCTGACTGGCTCGATGAAGATATCGGCTTGCAATTCTTCATCTGGGTTCATCCTGTAGACTCTGATGGTGAGCATCTTCCAATTCGGGGCGCCCAAGAACCCCAGGTCTCAAGACCTCTATGTGCAAGGCATCCTGTCAAATCGGAGCTTCAAGTATACAGAATCTGAATCAAACTACCTGGAGCTCATCCACTCGGAACAGGTTCACCTGCACAAGGCTTGGTGGCTTGCTGCCGTGGCTTGTTGCCATGTCAGACCTGTGTAGACACAGAGCCTTGGGGATGTTCTTCCAAAGGCCAGCTTCCACCAACCCACTTGGAACCACTTGGAACCCGAAAGCGTCAGATCTGATGCATCTTCCAAGGAGGCAAGAATCCACTGACAGGAATAATTGCTTGGTGAAACCCTGCAAGTTTGAAGCATTCACTTGCAGTTTACCAGCCTCTCTCTCTCTATATACACCATGCGGTAAAATTACCGCACGGGTCCGGAAGATGCCACTCCCACCCACCGACCGGATCGCCTATGAGATTGGTCATCACCAGCGCGCAGGCCTGGAGATCGGACTCTGTCCGTGCGTCGGTTCTTCCGAAGATGCCCCCTGTTTGGTACACTCCGACGAACACATTCACATGGAAGTGGATGGCACCCACTCTTTGTAAAGGAAAGTCGTCTTCCAAGAGGCCATGCCATCCACTTGCATGTGATGTGTTCGTCAGAGTGTATTCAGATTTCACGATCTAAGTAAACCCGGGGGCGTTCTCCACGTGTTTCCACCCCAACGTGGCGTAGCCGAACCTGGGTTGCACCCGGTGAGTTGCAACAGCTCTGCGAGGCCATGGAGAAATCAGGTGGGCGGAGTGAACTCATCCGGCCCAAGGCACTTCTGGCGCACTTGTGCTCCTTCCCCCACCGGGACTATGCCTATGCCTATGCTCTGCCTGGATCCTGAAACACTTAGAGGATGCAGCTAGGAATTCCTGACACAGCTCCAACTTGAGCCAGGCAGTTGTTTCAAAGACCAAAACACAACCATTGACTGCCCTCAAACCATCAGAATGAGATCTGCCCTGAAAGAATCGATCGTGCCAACTCCAACCCCATTGCGAATGGACACATGCACCAAATCTGAATCTTTAAAGGTGTGGTTCCGTGAACCTGCCAACTGTCATCCAATTAAAAGAACAGGTCCATCATCTAGCTTTATCTCTTGAAAGTTCTTCCGCTCTAAGTCTAGCTCCAAGTCAGTGCCCTCGCCTTGCTCCAATCTAAAGCCCCCTCACCCCCACCCTTCACTCCCGTCTGTGCCCAGGGTTTCAGCCAAGGCACATAAAGGGCCAGGAGTGTCAACACCAAGACCCAAAACATCGACTGCAACGCCTGGCGCGCGCGCGCGCGCGCTTTCTCGCCGACCGTCGGTGGCGGCTGATGGTCGTGATGGTCGTTGGACGAAGGAAAACGGAGTACTTCTGCGGTTGGCGGTTGGCAGCTGTTCTCTTTTTGTGCTGTGTGGCGTGTGGCTTTGTTCCGGCAGATGTGTGGGGAAGACTGTATTGCAAGACGTGAGAGTGTCTGAAGGCGCAAGAATATTGACTGCGATTGTTTGATGACACCTCTCGCCTGACTTCCTCTCTAGGTGTTTTCCGGCGTTCTCAGGTATGTTCCCATCGGGTTCCGCGTTCCGCAATTCAATCAACTGGCCGCAGGTCCTAATGGCAAGAGTTCCCTGAACGTCCGCCGAGTGGACGCAATGGAACTTGAGGGTGGAAAGTCATTACTGGGGCAGGAGTTGGTCGATACGCAGGAAGCTTAAAACCAACTAAGTGGCCTTCCATGTCTAGAACTGTTGATGAAGATTGTGCCATCGCAAATGACATCAGCCCAAAGGTGTGCTCTTCAGTTTTAAAGTGGCAAAAGTAGCTCTTCATGTCATGTGAACGACACTTGAGAACGAGTACTGCAACCCATACAGAAGGGGTCGCATACCCTCCCTAGGGATCCAAGTACCTTCTCAGAAGGTGATACCAACAAAATCATACACATGCTCCTCCCTCCGATTTCACCCCTCCCCCCTCCATCGCCCCGCCTTGACGATGCCCAGCGCCAGTTGGTAGACCGGTCGCACCACCTGCGTAGCACACGTCGCGTGTTTTGGACCGCGACCCCCAGGACTAACATGATCCTATAACTGTAGAAAAATCAATTTGCTATAGCCTAAGGGCTCCAACGACCTCGGTTACAACGTCTCCTGGCGCCTGTGGGAGACGAGAGTGTGAGTGAAACCCCAGTGAGGAAACTTCAGCTATCACCCACAGGCACCAGGAGACGTGGGCAGCGAGGTCCTGAGAAGATGCTTAGACCGGACTGATCTTCGCTCCTACCCGATCCGCCTTCACCAAGCGAAGCAAGCGCAGCAAGCGCATGAGCCGCAGAAGTCTCAAGAGCCTCAGACTGTTGTGACGCTCGGAAGGCAGTGACCAGGTAGCCAGGTAGCCCTCGAAGGTGGCACTTAGTGCATAGATGAGACTGTTGGGATATCGTTCACTCACAGCTAGGTAGGTCATTCAAGTGTCCGAACTCGACCTGGAGTGACTGAAGTCTCAGTTCGTACCTCCGGGAATTGGGTATATAGTCGTATTTTCTTCTTTTCATAAGGCCCCGTGTCCCATTTTCCAGCACTTCAAGCCGGTCCAGGTCCGATCGACTGTATGGCCTTCATGGCCTGAGAACATGCACGAAAAGGGGACCTTTCTGCCAGCGCGAGACGTTGGCAACTCAAAGACTTGGGGTACACCGGAGGGTTGTCCTCTTCCGGGACATCCCCTGAATGAGACATGGTAGCGGACAAATGCTAGATAGATTCCGCCAGGATTGCAATTCTAGGAGGATCAACCAAAACACATGCACACAAACAAACACAACACACCTTCTATAGAGAAATCTCATCTCTTGACACATTCCCCGAATAAAAGAATGAGACAGGTCGGTGGTTCATTTTCCATGAGGCCCAACAACTTGTGGTGAACATGCCCCAGCTATCCCCAGCTATCCCTACCTTTGGTCATCCAAGGGATCTCCACAGATTGGAGGTGCAAACAAAGACCTACGGATCTTGGCTCTCCAGAATCTCCGACCAGTCACTTGATGTCCTTCTTCAAGCGAAATGGTATTTCAAAGTTAGTGGCTGGACTCACAACCTGGGTCCAGAAGCTCACACACCACACCTCTAAAACTGCAGCGATGTGTGGTTTTGATCAATGAGCACTGTCCACTTCCTAAACGTCAGAAAGCACCGAAACACCGTTGAACCGACCATGCCGACCTTTGTCGATCCGACCATGCTGTGCCACTCGCGATGCATCACCGAGAGGCGTGAGCAAGTGCGGCAAATGCC